AATTTTATCTATTTCATATTCCTCTTCACCCTGCACTATGATGGGGTCAGGTTTAGACAGTTCTTCTCTATGGAATGGATCAGGGAGAAAAGGCTTAAAAAGGGAAACATGGAAAACGGGATGAAGTTTAAACGAAGGAGGGAGTTTCAACTTCATAGCGCTTTCATTAATAATGGATTCAATCTGAAAAGGACCAAGAAAAGAGGACGATTTCATATTTAGGAGGAGCTCCCCTCTTAGTATCATAATTCTTTTTATGCAATACCATAGCATTTTCAAGGTTCTTCTTTAATTGTTTAAACAAGGAAGACATTTCAGTATTTTGAATGGAAACCATCAGGTTAGAAGTTAATTTGGGTTCATCAGGAAACAGAGAGGGGTGGAATCCATAATTTGAGAAGAATGGGATCATCTTGCTGCTTGAGTGTATGGAATTGTTGTAGGCAAACTCAGCCATAGGCAACCAATTAATCCAATCATCTTGTAAATATGTACAATAACAACGAAGGTATTGTTCTAAACATTGATTGACTCGTTCTGTTTGACCATTGGTTTGAGGATGGTATGCAGAAGAGAGCTTATGTTGGATTTGAAGAGAGGAACACATCTCCTTCCAGAATAGTGAAGTGAATTGGGTATCGCTGCCAGAGATGATTTCTTCAGGGAATCTATGTAATTTGATTATATTATCTATGAAGATTTTGGAAAGTTCGGAAGATGTAGGTAACTTTTTCAAGGGAATGAGATGTGACATTTTCATAAAACGGTCGACGACGACAAGTATGGTGGTGTATTTTTGTGAAGGAGGAAGTTCCACCATGAAATCCATAGAAATAGATTGCCAGGGTCTCACAGGAACTGGTAAACCCATCAATAACCCGTAAGGAAGGTGATGTTCAGTTTTGGATCTCTGACATACAGGACAGGATTTAACATAAGTTTCAATGGTTTTGTCTTGTCAGGGCCACCAGTATTGTCTAGATGAGAATTCCAATGTCTTTTTAATACCAGGATGTCCTGCAAGTGGAGAGTCATGAATTAATTTTAGAAGTTTGTTCCTCAGTTTTGGAGGAATATAAATCCTATTTTTTAAATAAAAAATTCCTTCCTTTTTGAACAGTTTAGGAGTGGAGGGTATTTCAAGTTCTTCAAGAGATAATTGTTTTAATTCATCCAATATGGTAGATGATAGTCCAACAAATTTATTGTCTGACAATATTGATAGAGGTTTATCCTCTGATTGAGGTTTGTAGGGGATCCTAGAAAGAGCATCAGCTTTCTTGTTACGAGATCCAGGTCTATAAACGATTTGAAAATTGAAACGATCAAAAAAAAGACTCCATCTTACTTGTCTAGAAGATAAAGTTTTGTTGGTATTGAGGTATTCAAGATTCCTGTGGTCTGTATAAACAACTATAGGAATTTCATTTCCCTCTAGAAGATGACGCCAATTCTCGAAAGCTACTTTTATCCCTAATAATTCTTTTTCTCCGATGGGATAGTTCTTCTCAGCCGAGGTTAAAGACCTTGAAAAAAAAAAGCAACAGGATGGAGAGGGTCTTGAGGAGTCTTTTGTTGTGAGAGAACTGCTCCAATAGCATTTTCAGATGTGTCTACTTCTAAGACATAAGGATATGAAGGATTTGGAAGGTGTAGAATGGGAGCAGTTGTAAATTTTCTTTTTAGAGTATCAAAGGCATCTTGGGCGTGGTCATTCCAACAAAATTGATGTTTGTTACCAGCAAGCATATGGAGAGGATGAGCTATCTCAGAGAAATTCTTAATAAACTTTCTGTAAAAATTAGCAAAACCAAGAAATCTTTGCACATCCTTGGTAGAGGAAGGGGTGGGCCAATTAAGAATGCATTTTATATTAGAATCATCCATTCTTATTGAGTGAGGAGAGATAACATAGCCAAGAAAGCTGAGTTCATTAACTTCGAATAAACATTTTTCTGGTTTAGCATAGAGTTTGTGAGTCCTTAATCTGGATTGTAACCAGTGTACATGCTTCCTGTGATCTTTAAGGTTATCTGAATAAATTAAAATGTCATCTAGATAGATGATGACACGTGTCTAAAAGGTCTTTGAATATATCATTGATGAAATGTTGGAAAGTAGCGGGAGCATTACAGAGTCCGAATGGCATGACAAGATATTCAAAGAGGTTATATTTAGTACTGAAAGCTGTTTTCCATTCATCATCTTCTTTTATCCTAGTTAGGTTGTAAGCCCCTCTGAGGTCAAGTTTGGTGAAGATAGTTGCCGTTCTTAATCTTTCAATTAATTCGGGAATCAAAGGTAGAGGGTAACGGTTTTTAACTGTCATTTTTTTAATGCGCGGTAGTCAATTATGGGACGTATAGTTTGATCTTTATTCCTTAAGAAGAAGATCCCGGAATCAGCAGGAGATGTGGAAGGACGTATGAATCCTTTACGGAGGTTTTCCTCAAGGTACTCCTTAAGGGTTTCTAATTCCTTCTCAGAAAGAGGGTATATGTGACCATAGGGGATGGGAGCACCATGAATTAGGTCGATAGGACAATCATAAATCCTATGAGGAGGAAGAGTTTCAGCTTCTTTTTTACTAAAAACATCAGAGAAGTCCGAATACTGTTCAGGTATTAGAATTTCTTGACTTAATTGAAGTATAGGAATATGTGGAAGACAGTTTTCCTTACAATAATCTGACTCAAATGAGAGAGAGAAGGGAGCCCAGTGGATGAGAGGATCATGAGTTTGTGACCAATTGATACCCAGGATGATTGGAAAAAGAGGGGATTTTACAATATCAAAAACAAGAAATGCGGAATGGTTATGATTGATAGTTGTCAAAACAGGAATAGTTTCATATTTTATGGGACCAGAGGGTATTAACCCCTTAAGGACACATGACGGAAATATTCCGTCATGATTCCCTTTTATTTCTGAAGTTGTGTCCTTAAGGGGTTAAAGAACCATCAATAATGCGGATAGAGACAAAAGATGCTTTTTGCACACAAGGAATTTTGTTGTTTTCTACAAAGGATGAATCTAGGAACACCCCCGTAGCTCCTGAATCAATCATGGCCTCAGTCTTGATTCTTTCTTTGTCCCACTGTAAAATTAGAGATATAGCAAACTGATGAGAGGAGGAAGAGGGAAGGGTTTTCAATATTGAAGTATTAATTCAAGCCTTACCTCCCTTAGAGCGTCTTAATAGATGACATTCTTGTAAAAGATGTTCATTAGAAGCACAATACATGCAGAGATTTAATTCTCTCCTTCTTCAGTAGAAAGGGGACCCCTAATAAAACCGATTTCCATAGGTTCAATTGGTTGCAGGGGTTTACTAGGGATTCTTATAGCAACACTGGGTTTTTTCCAAAGTGAATTAGTGAGTGCCTTCTCTGCTTTACGTTCTCTGATTCTTCTGTCTATACTGATAGAGAGTTGAATTAGTGTATCGCGAGTAGGGGGGAGTGTGGTTCTAGATAATTTGTCTTTAACTGTTTTAGATAATCCTAAACGGAACTGATTGCGCAGAGTGATATCATTCCATTGGGTTTCCAATGCCCATCGTTTGAACTCAGCAATATAATCTTCTACAGGTCGATTTCGTTGATGTAGTGATCTAATAGTAAGATCAGCAGTGGCTTGTTTATTTGGGTCCTCATAAAGAAGTGACACTGCCTCAATAAAATCATCTAATGAATCCTGTATGGGATCCTCATTTTCTAGAAAGGAATGCACCCAGGACACCCAGGTTCTCCTCTTAAGAATGAGATTATAGAACAGACTTTAATTCTGTCAGTGGGGTATGACCTGGGTTTAAGAGTAAACAATAATTTACATGAATTCAAAAATTCTCTGTATTTGGAGCGATCTCTGTAAGGATACCAAGTGTATTTAAACACCATTCGGTAGTTTCCTACTGAACTGCCAGAGCCTTAGTGATTATAGCCCTCCGTTCGGTAGATAGAGTAGACGAACCCTATAGTAATTCCAGTAGCTTCACAAGATGATTCCCTTAGTGAAACACACGAATCCCCAAACATCAGCCGAAGTCAAGAAAAAGGGTACAAGATGAACTAACTTTTAATGGGTGCACACAACTTTTATGCAAGTCCCCATGCAAGGGGACAACCCTCAGGGAGGGACAAATATTCACCAACCATATACAGTAAAACTTTAACACACACCCATAGTTCCCTCCCCTAGCCCTGGAGATAATTAAGTCTGATAAGATAGTAACTTAATTATCTCCGGGCTGAAAAATCACTTTATTCTCCAATAACTGGAACACCCCTTTATACTTAGGGTACCCCCACAAATAATATGTCCCCTGATAGCCCTGATCTGGGTGACCAACATATTCGAATTTCACCCACATCGGTTCAGGGGTTTGCGAAAACTATGGATGTCTTCTGTGACTGGCTCACCGGCTCACCGGCTCACCTGAAAACAGTTCCATGAATTTGGTGGGTTTTGCCGGTCACTTTAGAAATAGCAGAAAAACGAACAAAGTACCGAATGGATCCCTCTGGCTCCTAGCAGCATTCATTCCCCTCTGTCGAATACACCAAAGTACCGATAGAACTCTTCTAGCTATTCGGTAAATAGAGTTCCAGCATTCGTCTGTTTGGCACCGGTGTTCGGGAAGTCGAGTGTCCGTTTTCAGTTCCATACACTTGACGACCATGTCCCGCCGCTTGCGTTCGAAATGATCTTCCACATCTGCCTTGACGCTGACCTTTTCACTAGCATTTTCATCTGCACCGATAGCTTGTTCCAAAATCTTTAGTTTTGCTGCAACTGCCTCGTAGTTGCTCTCTTTTTTTGAAGCTTCAATTGCTGCCCTTTGACGTGCTGTCTGAGCTTCCATTGCTGCAGCCTCAGCCTCCATGTCTGCTCTCTTTTTCGCGTATGCAGCCTGTACTTTGATAGCCTCTGCTTCGGCACGGGCATTTATAAGCTGTTCACTAAGTGTTGAGTGCCTTGAACTTCGGGATCTAGAGGAACTTTTAGAATGTCTGGTGGATACGGATCTGTGAGATACAGTGTCCTGTGGCTGCGTTAATTTTGCTTCTGCCTTTGCTTTAGCTAGCAGGATAAAGCTTTCTCTTTCCACATTAAGAAGCTGGACATTGTTAAGTTGCTCTAATGATTCCTCAGTGTTAATGTTTTGCAGAATAGTTTTATATTTATTGCTTGTAGTCTGGTACAGTTCATATGAAGCAGAGAGATGCTTTATGAGGCCCTCTAGTTGCAGTACCTCATGGCTGGGACATGAAATCACATCAACGTGGGTGAGGATTTTATCCCAGATTTGCTTCAAACTGGTTGATAGTTCAGTTCTCATGGATTCATAGTTCTCTTTAACCTTCCAAGTGGGTTTCACAGAGCGTTTAGCCAATGCACTGGGCTCTGGGTCCTCATCCTGGCTTTCTCCATGTGGTGCATGTTGTGGTGTTTCATCACATACTGAGCCTTTTCCACTCATGATGGCCTTTTTTGCTACATTTGATGCTGACTCAGCACTCACATATCCAATGTCCATCTTTGTTTCACCCTGGTTTATAGACCATGACGATTCATCTGTGTGATATCAAAAAGAATTGTTTAACCAGATCATCGACTCTTAGTAATGGTTGAGGATATGAGGTTATCCTTGAGGTTAACTGAAAACTAACATTCTCCAACTCCGCTACGGCTTGTATATGTGTATGATTTTCTTGTGTTACATGTTTTTGTTTAGTGAATGATCCCCAAAGATCTCACACTAATAACTTTGTTTTCTTCATTTGTTTTTGTCTCAACTCACATTATCAATCATTGAGTAGAGGTTCATGAGTTAAACGGTGTGGCAAACCTAGCCACTTGGACATTATATAAAGACTATATATAAAGACTATAGCTTTAAGGGTTGCCTGTGCTGTTTTGAGGATGCGTATGTTCCTGTGTGTATAGACTGTGATTGCCTAACATTGTATTACCTGCATTGGCTTTCTGCCGAAAGCAGATAGCTGATTTCCTTTCGTTTCACGAACAGAGCCTTTGCGGGCTGTTCGTGAACCGAATAAGACCCACATGTATAGCCCACACATTGAGAGACGTGTGGCGCTCGTTAACCGATTGCAACAATGTTGCAATCGGTAGTTAGAGGCTCTCCTAGGTGGCCGTCATTCGACTACCGACCATGTGGCGGTCGGCCATCTTGGATCCTTTGTTCCTCCAGCGGTGTTTGGTCGTCGAGCGCGTGGTACTAAAAATGGCTACTCGACGGCGCAAACTTCCAGGCCGTTTGGGAGTTCCGGGCCGTTGGGTATTTTATTCCCCATATGCCAATCGGTCTTTTAAATGCATGTTTTGGTGAATATGTTTTTCGTGCGGCGTTCGGTTGTTTTAGCTGGGATCTGAGCGGTAATCTCACGAATGATGCGCTCAGACCCCAGCTATCTACCGAACGTCCATTCGTGCAAATAGACCTAATATTCGAAGAGTTGTGTGTTTTAATATAAATTGCCGGTTCTGCTGCACGGAGGGATAATCCACTTAACGGTACATTCCAGTGGGAGGATCCCTCTCGTGCAGCAGTGCCTGATGGGAGAAATGCTCTGTACTGTAAGTTCCCCACGTAGTCCACTCCTGGAATACCCCTGGGATAGGACTCAGGAAACCCCTTGCATGGGGAATTTGTATAAATTGCGGAGCCTGTGAATAAAGCCTCAGTTGAATCCCAGAACTGTGTTTAGTCCAGTTACTCTGGGATTTGGGATATTGCCTTCCTTTTCAGCGCTGACTGTGGATTACTGAAGATACCAGCGGAATTTGTGTGTTTTAATACTGCAGATCCGCTACAAACGGTACCAGTATAGAATTATTTATCACACTCCCTGTACAAGTAATCACCATACTTTTTACAAATGCCTGGTGTGAAGAAAATGGACTTTTGCCTGACATTTTCTTGTTTTTTATTCAGTATTTTTATATGGGATTACTTGCAAAGTGAATGGATTGGTTCGGTAGTTTGAAACTACCGAACACCGACCACCCTCCTGGCTCATTTAGTACAAAGGGACAGTGCTGACTGGGAGGCCGCTGTTCGTACAACCGAACGCCACGTGGAAAAAAAAACGGCGGCCATCTTGTTTGCACGAGGAGAGCCAGCAGGACTTGATCGTCGAGTGCCTGGAACTAAAATCAGGCACTCGACCTCGCGAACTACCGCTGGAAACTACCAAACGCCGGCTTCTCCTATTTCCCGAACAGCCAGAGAAGCCCCATTCGGTAGTTCTGTGCAAACGGACAAAGGGAGCAATCGCTACTATGGGCCAGGGGAATCCATTCGGGACTTTTGTTCGTTTTTTCAGTTTTTGTGAATTGACCAACCGCACACGCTGAATTCGTGGAACTGTTTTGGGCAGGAGTCGCGTGTGTGGTCGGTAAAAAGGACACTCCACACCTTTTCAGAACCCCTGAACCGATCTGGGTGAAATTTGGATATGTTTGTCCCCCAGATCGGGGCTATCAGGGGCTATATAATTTGTAGGGATACCTTGTGGGGAAAGGGGTGTTCCAAGTTTTGGGGAAATTATGTGCTCTCTGCCTGGAGATAATTGGTTTATTCCTTAACTTATCTCAATATCTCCCAGGCAGAGAGGAGGCGTGTAATACTGTAAATCTGTGTGATGATTGGCTGTTGCTTTTGTTTGCTGTGGGAGGTCCTCTTGCAGGAGGATTTCTCATAAAAGCCTGTGTGTTTTCAATAAAGATTAGTCCTGTTACACCCTTCATGAAGTCTAGGCTCATGTTTGGGGGATATTCTACTTGCTGGGAAGAAGCACCTTGGAACTGCATTTCATCTCTCTTATTCCTCTACTCCCTGCTGCAGCTATAATCACTCATACTCAGCTGTGGGGATAAGGAACCAAGACTGCAGCACCATAACCACTGCAGGTCTTAACACCTGGAAACATTCACTATATATTACAAGTGTAAAGTAACAAAGCAACATATGTGTGACGCAAGCACCTTCGTCACTGGGGTTTGGAGAGGCCTGCTTGCCAGCCTCTTGCCCTGTGACTATGGCCCCTGGGATGTATTGCCTTTTATAAACACTATTTGTACATATTGGGACTTGGCACAATACCCATTTAAACTTTTGAAGAGGTTGAAGTAGAACTTCGAAGCACCGAACAACCAGATCACACACAAGTGGAGTGTGCAGCCTATTTACCTCCCAAGTTGGAAGTTAACCGCAGCCAAATTGACGAACATCTAGGTGGTCACCGTTGGTATAGTCGAACACGTGGCATCGGCCATCTTGTTTAGTCAAACATGTTCAGCTGTGTTTTGTCGTCGAGTTCATGGAACTCAAATCGTACATGCGACGGCACGAACACCGCTAAACTTTACCCTTCTCTGGGACTCTTCGACAGGAGTCGAACGGTGTTGACAATTCGAACGGCACTTTAGCATTGGCTATTTGAACTGAACTTAGACATTGAAAAGAGACCGGCCGCACAGCCAAATTCTCTGGAACTGTTTTGGGCATGAAATCATGCGTGCGGTCAGTCAAAAGAGACTTCCGTGAAACTTTTGAACCCCTGCTCTGATCTGGGTGATTTTTGGATATGTTGCTCACCCAGATCAGGGCTATCAGGGGATGTAATATTTATGAGGATATATTATGTTTTGGGGTGTTTGCTAGACTTTGGGGAAAATGTGTGTTTTTCTGCCTGTGGATAATTAGGTTATTGTATTAGCCACTTTAATTATATCACAGGCAGAGTGGGGAGACTGTGTGCTATAAGTCTGAGTGTCGGACATTGTTGTATTGTTTTGATTTGGTTGTGTCCTTTGTGTGCCTGTGTTCCATCAGGTCCGGGGTCTGTGCCTCTGGCCTGAGGAACTGTATATAAGCAAACCTGTACCAATAAAGCCTCAGACTTGTTCTACCCTTCATGAAGTCTTGGCTCGTGTTTGGGGGATTGAGAACCACACTCTGGGGATTGCTATAATCACCATACGCCCCAGAGTATAATCACTAGCTTTTGTAAGAGCTTGTTACTGCTCTAGAGAGGTCTACCTACTGGAAGCTGGACCCTGGTCTTAAATCCAGAGTGGGTGGAAGACAGCGAGACCCCAACCAAGCTGTGGTGTTTCCTGGGGTCTGCGGGGGTTATGGTGTCTAGTGGAGTGCTTGGACCCTTGAGAAGCACTAGGAGCATCCGTCAATGGAGGTACCCAGTCAGGGTGCCAGGTGATCCGTTACAAATATATTCTAATTTGTAACATTTCTTGGGATGCGGTGATGTTACACAGGAAATTTAAATATTGTCAAAATAAATGTGCAGCATTTACTGATAAAGCTTTGTTGAAGCTAGTTTATTGAGAACCATAGAAATAGATGGAGCTATAAAAGATATCCAGTTACGTAATACACACAACTTATCTGAGACCAGTATAGGCATCGCCGTGTCTCCAGATGTCCCACTAAAGGAGAGCGGATGTTAGAAATGATTACAGGCTCTGTCTAAAGACATTAAACATGGGTTCACTGCTCTGAGATTTCTGAGTAAACTTAAAATGTCTAATCAATCAGACACACGGTACAGTCATATCGTGTTTCAATTTATGTTTACAATTCTGTTGTCATGCATTGTCACTAGCATGGTGTTGCTGATTTGACAAATGTGCTTGCCTAGCTTAATGTATAGTGTCACTTTGTACTTACCTTGTGTTAATTTTCTATTGAGTCGATATACATATGAATGTGACACATGCTTGCCTCTGCCTTAGTTTGGAAATTTTTTTAAATTTTAATACAAAATATAGACAATGAAATTTTCCCCACCCCCTATACAAAATAAAAAGCAAAAGTAGAACTACTACAGACAAGAGAAATATATATATATATATTTTCTGGTTAGTTATTAAATAGGTATCAGGTGTCTTTTGGAAGCTTTTTAATGCAATTGCTTCACACAAAAAAAATAAAGTAAAAAGGTATATAATTAGAAATATACATCAGGTATTATGCGATCATTTCATTTCTGACATTGAAAGTTAAAGTAACAGTTTATGCGGCCTTGTCGATTCCCCTGAGCTACTAATGAGAAGACCTCAACAAGGGGTAAGTTCAGGTCACAGGTAGAATATCATAACGATACTTTGAGATTTTGAAGTTAACGAGCTTCCCATAGATGGTAGGCAGAACATATTCAATATATCTCTTAAACCCCACGTTCTCATACATTTTCTTTGCTTCAGATTGCACCATCAGGGTGTTCAGAATAACAGACCTATACCCATTTGACCGTGCAAAGCCAATAACTTCTCGAGACAAGGCTTTGGCTATACCAAGTCCTCTGTAGTCCTTCCTCACAGACATTCGCTTAAGGATTAGCTCATCATGCTTCTCATCTGAGGGTTTAGCGGCCACTGTGCCAACAATGCTTTCATCTACTTCCACCACCCAAAAGTTTGATCCTTTGCTCTCCATGTAGGTTTTCTGAATATCCTGAAGATCTTCTTTTAAACATTGGTCTATATACATTTTCCAGCAGTAGCCCAATACTTGACGTCCAAGAGCCAACAGAAGTGTGACAGCAAGAAGGGGCAAGATAAGGGACTTTGAGGTCAACATTAAAGAGAGGAACATGCATGTCAGCACAAAAATTACCCAAGGTTGCTTCAAAACATGAACACAGACGCTAGGGACATATTCACTCATGCCAGAAGAAAATAGGTCCCGTACGGTATCGTAGTCGGAATTATCATAGTTCCGGATTTTATAATTGGCCATAATTCTTTGAAAAAGAAGAAAGAAAAAAAAACATGAAAATTATTTTATGAGAAAACAAATGGAAAAAAATTTAAATCTTACACAAACTGCATTTACAAGTAAATTTGAAAAGTTATAAAACAATGTAAATTGTTTATTTTCAGTAATAATGTGTTGATGCTTGAATGTCTGTATGTGGATGCCTTAGTAGATGTTATGTGTCAACAGGTGGAGGAGAGACTCCATATTTCTCCTTGTGGTGTGACAGAGATCGAACCTGATGCCACAGCGCAGTATAATGCTCCATTAGATGGGTCAAAAACCTACATTCAACAAATGTCCAGCTCAGAAACACCAGACCATGTCTCTGTCACCTCAAAACATAAATAAGGAATATTCACTGAAGTGAGAATTGTCAGGAATTTGAAGTACATTATAAATGTTAGGCCAAAAGTAGCCAATCTAGAAGCATATCTGACTGTGAATGGTTACAGTTTGATTAGTTTGGCATTAAAAGAAACACAAAACATGTATTCTTAATGCTATAATGTTATACTATCTGTTCAGCCTCCTTATCACTACCGAACTAATAAAAGCAATTATCCTTGAGCCTGTCACATATATTTATTAATAATACAAGTGGAGCAGATATGGTCTACCACTGTGGATGCTAGGTAGGGGCAGGTGCATCACTGCCCTATGAGGGGTATTTGGAAACAATAGATATTTTGAAACACCTGTGATGGTTAAAATAGAAGCTTTATTGGAATTAATAAAACACTTTCTAACAACTGTATGTGGAAATACAGTGACTGAGTACTCTAGAGCAGGGGTGAGCAATCTGCCGCCCTCCAGATGTTTTGGACTACATTTCCCTTGATGCTTTGCTAGCATTATGGCCCTAAGAGCATTATTGGAGATGTAGTCCAAAATATCTGGAGGGATGCAGATTGCCCACCCCCTGCTCTAGAGTATTAATGCAAAAGAAAAAAACCATGACCATTCACCATGAAAAAAGAAAAGAAATGGAACTAAAAAAATGCAACATATTTAAAATATCTTGTCATTGGTAAGATAGGACCCATGCAACTGGAAACTCTGGGTTAAGGTAGCCCAGATAAAAAAAATAAAAAAAACAAAAAAAAAAAAGCGAAAAATAGTAAAATTCCTAAGGGTTGAAATGCCAGTACATGTGATATATATTAAACTAGAGCTACCCAGAATTATGGAAAAAGTGGCATAAAAGGAGCAAATGTTATGGTGCAGATAGTGTGCAGTAGTCAAAGGTCATGATACCAACATGCTGTCACTTAATGGTGTGAAAAATAGTAATATACCAAGTGGGCTGGAGGTCCACTGGAAGCATGTATGCACAAGTAAATAAATTGGAGTAAACCAGTGTATGATATAAACCAGTACTCCCAGACTGCAGTCCCAAAATTATCAATTGGTATAGGCTGGGGACGTATACAGCAGACAAACTGTCTGTCCTTATATAGGATCACTGGAAGGATACGGGAGTCGTTAAATAGCAGTCCCTGTGCTAGTAAAGAGTTAGCCAAAATGATTTGCTAGTCCCTGTGGGGGAGGAGGGGAGGGAGAGTATCTCTCTCTCTCTCTCGGACTAGCCCCTGTACAAGAGTCTGCCCCGTTTTCCTGGAGGGGGCAGCATGCTCGCCACCTGCCCAGTGATTATGGTCCCGGAGAAGATGGGACCCTTTAAACAAAATGGCTGGGCATAATGGAGGTTGGCATGGCACTGCTGGCCCTTTTGAGAGCCAGCCAAGGACATATGGAATAGCAGAGACATTGCACTGTGCAGCGGATTCATTATTACTTTGCTATTTAACGACTAAGACTTCCGTATGGATTTAAAAAGCATTCGTTTGATTGTTCACCTAAAACTGTACAGACTTCATGCATTCAGTATACGAACTAAATCTACCGAACACCGGACCACCCTGATGCTTCAAAATCGACCTCCCTGTTCGTCTAATACATTCCTATTGAAACCCGCAAACACTTTGTTCAAGTCCCTGGGTGGCTGCCATTTCAGGAGTTTAACACGTGGCGGTGGCCATCTTAAACTCCCAAACAGCGGTGTTTTGCTGTCGAGTGTCTGGAACCAAAATCGGACACTCAACTAGGCAAACACCACTGAGACCTCCAGACTTCCATAAATTCGTGCCAAAAACTACCGAACAAGCCGCCGTTCGGTAGAAAGACTAATGCAAACATGGGGATTCACACGAACACCAGTATAATCATGGATGACAAACATTTTGTGACTTTTATTCCGCGAACGGAGGCAAGCCCAAGACTTATGGAACTATTTTCGGCGACTGTTGCCTGTGCGGTCGGTCAAAACTTCAAAACCCCCCATAACTCCAGAACCCCTGGTCCGATCTGGGTGATTTTTGAATATGCTGCTCACCCAGATCAGGGCTACCAGGGGATAACACATTTAGGGGTGTACCTAGTATATTTGGGGTACATCTAAGAATTGGGGAAAAATGTGTACATTTTAATTAGGTTATCTGTTAAGCTGAGGGGAGGAGATGTGTGGGCAGTAACGTCTATTTGATTGGATACTGTAGTAATTATTGTGGGTGTCTCCCTTGCATGGGAGCGTTGCATAAAAGCAGGGACTGTGTGATTAAAGTTCAGTTCTGTTCCTGATACTGTGTGTCGTCCAGTTATTGGGAAAGGTGATGGGATATTATTGGATTGTATTGCTGATTGTGTTTGCTACGCTGTTGGATTATCCTGTTACTGTGGATGTTTCTCCAGGGGTTACTACTTGTTCCTGAGCCACACCTGGACTACCAGCGGAAATAGTCTGTGAGAGACCAGCGTTCCGCTACATTGGTGGCAGTGGTGGGATGGCGTCCTGGTGTGAGAGGAACAGCACCCTGGAGGCACCGGAATTATTATGGAGCGGCATAGAGCCAGCGAGTCCCTGGACAACGCTTGAGGTGGAGGATGAGTTTCACCGGAGGTTACAGAACCTCTTGGCCCCACTGGATAAGCCAATAGTAGAGGCAACCAGGTTGGACTGCAGAGAGGGCACCCGACAAGAGATGTGGGAAGAAACCCTAGAGGGTGTCCAGCGTTGGCGAGGTGAGAGTCTCCCCAGCAAGGAGCAGCGACTACAAGCCAGAGTGGCCCTACGGATGCCTATGCTGGGAGACAAGCCCCGGGAGGAGTTGGTGATACAGCTTGATTCACTGACATGGAGGGAACTGGGTCTCGATGATGCGTACCAAGCGCTACATTGGTACGCGGTTCAGCGTGTTCCCGGAATGGCCAAGCTCGACAAACCGGAGGGCAAGGATTACAATGGCCCTGGCTTATCATGGGGGGGCCTTTGCGGAACCGGACTTTGGGAGTGCGTCAGAGTCACGGCTTTGGGACATATTTGCTTACAGAGAGGCCATGCTGGATCTCCCTATGGCTGAGGACCTAAGGCCAGACCTGATTGAATTGGCCGTCCAGGAATGGGAACTGGAGCAGGATTACCAGCACCTGATTAGCTCCAGTCAGTCACACTATACCCTGCAGGTACCACCAAAGCAGTGGGAGCTCGAACAGGATTATGCTTACCTACTTAATCAAATAACACCGCCTGTCTCTGACATGATGGGGCTTACGGACTGTACACCATCGGGAGTGTTGAGTTTCGTCCCTCCTCCCCAGCAACTAGGCCTGGTATCAGGAGACCTGGGGTCTGTACCACCTACTTCCCAACCAGCCCCAGAGATGAGAGACCTTATCGACTGGTCCTGGGAAGACCCACAGATGGCAGGAGGAGATGGGACTGCGGTCTCTCTACCGGCTCACAGGGATACTTGGCAGTTGGCCCAGATCCCTGGGGGCAGTGTACCTTGCAGGGAGAGGAGAGCAGCGTCCTCCCTCTCCAGCGGCAGGGTGAGCTACAGGGGGCGAGGACAGTCGGTCCTGCTCTCCAGCAGCAGTGTGTTCTGCAGGGAGAGGAGAGACGTGTTCTCTCTCCCCAGCAACAGAGTGCCTTACAGGGAGGGGAGACAACCGGTCTCACTCCCTAGCGGCTGAATATGATAGTGGAAGGGGAGACTGTTGGTCTTCCTTCCCCGCAGGACAGTGTATTGGGAGAAGAGACAGTCGGTCTCTCTCCCCAGCGAGAGGAACTGTTTCAGGGAGAGGAGACAGTCGGTCTCTCTCCCCAACGGTCAAGTGTAGTACCAGGAGAGGAGAGTGTCGTCCTCCATCTTCAGAAACCAAGGGTGTTATTGGGAGAAGGGACAGGCAGTCCCTCTCCTCAGCGGCAGAATGTCTTACAGGGAGGGGAGACAGCTGGTTTCACTCCTCAGCGGCTGAGCATGTTAATGGAAGGGGAGACGGCTGATTCCCCTCCCCAACAGCAGGACAATATATTGGAAGGGGAGACAGTCGGCCCCCCCCTACAACAAGGGAGAGAGTGTTGCAGGAAGAGGAGCCTGTTACCCCTTCTCCCCAGCGGCAGCGTATCCCACCAAGGGGAGATACGGAACCGCCGGACAGTACAGATGGGACCGAGGTCTCTGTACCCGACCCACAGGGATATTGGACGTCTGGTCGAGATCCCCAACCACCCTCCCAGGAATGCCTGGGGGAGGCAACAGATCTTCCTTCCCCACAGACAACCTACAACCCGGGAATACCGGCCGCTGACCATCTCCCAGCAGAGGAGCTGGCATCTAGGCAGAACGCAGGCGGCCTCTGCCCTCTCTTCCCTTTTGGTCCCTTGGGACCTGACAGCGCACCATCTACACCAAGGACCACAGAGCAGAGTGTCGCTGGCCTCTACCCACCAGGGCCACAGGAGGGGAGCTGCATCCGCCGTTCCCAGCAACCACTTTGACCAACCAGGGAAGAGGGCGGCTTGGTTATCTTCCCACCAGACCATGGACTTACAACTGGACACATGGGGCAGGGGGCCATCTGGATACCTACACCGTGTGAGAAAGGCCAACCGACTATCAGAACCCCAGACCGATTGGAGGTCTGGAGTCTGGATAGTCTCTTTGATAAAGGGAAGAAATGTAGTGAACTAGCCCCTGTACAAGAGTCTGCCCCGGTTTCCTGGAGGGGGCGGCTTGCTCGCCGCCTGCCCAGTGATTATGGTCCTGGGAAGATGGGACCCTTTAAACACAATGGCTGGGCATAATGGAGGTTGGCATTGCATTGCTTGCCCTTTTGACAGCCAGCCAAGGACATATGGAATAGTAGAGACATTGGACTGTACAGCGGATTCATTATTACTTTGCTATTTAACTAATAAGACTTCCGTATGGATTTGTCAAAAGGCTTTTGTGTGGATTTAAAAAGCATTCGTTTGATTGTTCACCTAAAACTGTACTGACTTCATGCATTCAGTATACGAACTAAATCTACCGAACACCGGACCACCCTGATGCTTCAATCTACCTCCCTGTTCGTCTAATACATTCCTGTTGAAACCTGCGAATGCTTTGTTCAAGTCCCTGGGTGGCCGCCATTTCGGGAGTTTAACACGTAACATCTTAAACTCCCGAACAGCGGTGTTTTGGTGTCAGAGTGTCTGGAACCAAAATTGGACACTCAACTAGGCAAACACCGCTGAGACCTCCAGACTTCCATAAATTCGAGCCGAAAACTACCGAACAAGTCGTGGTTCGGTAGAAAGACTAATGCAAACACCAGTATAGCCATGGATGACAAACATTTTGTGACTTTTATTCCGCAAACGGAGACCGAGCGCAAGGCCAAAACTTATGGAACCATTTTCGGCTACTGTTGCCTGTGCGGTCGGTCAAAACTTTAAACCCCCATAACTCCCAAACTCCTGGTCCGATCTGGGTGATTTTTGAATATGTTGCTCACCCAGATCATTTAAGGGTGTACCGAGTATATTTGGGGTACATCTAAGAATTGGGGAAAAATTTGTACATTTTAATTAGGTTATCTGTTAAGCTGAGGGGAGGAGATGTGTGGGAGGTAACGTCTATTTGGATACTGTAGTAATTATTGTGGGTGTCTTCCTTGCATGGGAGCATTGCATAAAAGCCGGGATTGTGTGATTAAAGTTAATTTCTGCTCCTGATACTGTGTGTCGTCCAGTTATTGGGAAAGGTGATGGGATATTATTGTATTGTATTGCTGATTGTGCTTGCTTCGCTGTTGGATTATCCTATTACGGTGGATGTTTCTCCACGGGTTACTACTTGTTCCTGAGCCACACCTGGACTACCAGCGGAAATAGTCTATGAGAGACCAGCGTTACGCTACAGTATATATTATTATGATCAGTATTTATTATTATTATCATGGTCAGTATTTATTATCAGTGTGTGTGTGTGTGTATATATATATATATATATATACACACACACACACACACACACACACACACACATTATTATGATCAGTATTTATTATTATGGTCAGTGTATATATATATATATATATATATATATATATATATATTTATTAACAGTATATATATTAATATTATAATCAGTATTTATTATTATTATGGTCAGTATTATCAGTGTGTATATATTATATTATATTATTATTATTATTGTCAGAATTTATCAGTGTATATATATATTTTATTATTATTATGGTCAGTATATATATTATCAGTATATATAAAATAGTATTATGATCAGTATATTATTATCAATCAGTATATATTATTATAATAACCAGTATCTATATTAATATTATATATTATTATTAATATTATATATTTCCATATTTCCCTGTTCCCCCACACACACACCCCCTGCCTCCCTCCAGCCCCTCTGGCCACCTTCTCCCACACACTCACCTCTGCTCTCCAAGTTGCTGGAGCTGCGGCCGTCGCACAATACATACGTCACAGATTCACCCAGTGTAAGGCGATAGATAGCTGGTCGCCATGTTTAAATCGGGCAGCGGAATGGGCGGTGAGTAATGAGGCGGTGCTGATAATGCTGGCGGCCATGTTTATTGTGGGCAGTGGGATACTGGGGAAAGCAGTCTAAAAAGCATGATGGGATAGATAATGATTATAGTATAATTGGACATAATACAGGGAGAGGGGGATTATACCATAATACAGGGAGAGGGGGGATTGTACCATTATAAAGAGAGGGGGGGATTATACCATTATACAGAGAGGGGGGGATTATACCATTATACAGAGAGGGGGGGATTATACCATTATACAGAGAGGGGGGGATTATACCATTATACAGAGAGGGGGGGATTATACACAGAGAGGGGGATTATACATTATACAGAGAGGATTATACCATTATACAGAGGGGATTATACCATTATACAGGAGAGGGGGATTATACCATTATACAGAGAGGGGGATTATACCATTATACAGGGAGAGGGATTATACCATAATACAGAGAGGGGGGATTATACCATTATACAGGGGAGGTTATACCATAGTAGGGAGAGGGATTATACCATTATACAGAGGGAGGATTTATACCATTATACAGGGAGAGGGGATTATACCATAATACAGGAGAGGGGGATTGTACCATTATACAGGGAGGGGGGATTATACCATTATACAGAGAGGGGATTATACCATTATACAGAGAGAGGGGATTATACCATTATACCATTATACAGGGGATTATACCATTATACAGGGAGAGGGGGATTATACCATTATACAGAGAGAGGGGGGATTATACCATTATATATACAGAGGGGGGATTATACCATAATACAGGGAGAGGGGGGATTATACCATTATACAGGAGGGGGGATTATACCATTATACAGAGGGGGGATTATACCATTATACAGGGAGAGGGGGGATTATACCATTATACAGGGAGAGGGGGGGATTATACCATTATACATGGAGGGGGGGATTATACCATTATACAGGGAGAGGGGGATTATACCATTATACAGAGAGAGGGGGGATTATACCATTATACAGGGAGTGGGGAGATTATACCATAATACAGGGAGAGAGGGGTGTGACGAGACCAATCTCGCCACATTGCATTGGAGAAGCCTGGTTGCTTGCCTGTTGCCTTTGGATTATGGCCCCATTTTAAAAGGCTTGATTTTCCCCTGCAAAGACATGAAAGCCGGGTCATTTGGTGCTTGCCCTGTTTGAGCGGTGATACTCCAGATAGCTATGCCATGGAGCCCATTCGTATAATGAAAGACTATGGGAAAGACTTTGGCTCCATGGCAATTGAACTGTATGTGTGTGCTCTGAGCGCCATTCAGTAATAATGTGCGCTTAGACCTAAGCTATCTGGGCATATGTTGCATGTCTGTATTTTATGTCATAAATGTAACCTTGTGTATTTTATTGTAGTTTACTGTCTTTTTGCTGCCATGTGTGCAATGGAGTTTTTCCTCTGTCTTTGGAGATAATTGGATTACTTCCCAATTATCTCCAGGATAGAAGACTCTGTGGAACTGGTTTTGGGCAGAAAAGCAATGCTTCCTGTGGTCACAAAGGACTACGATCTATCTTTTGAACCACTGGACCAATTTGTATGATTTTGACGTATGTTTGTATTTGGAGTATGCTGATTCTGAATGTGAATGTGATGCATACTTTTCAAGTTATGAATAATGTGGAAAAATTGTATTTCTCTGCTTGTGCTAAATTACATTACCCATTGTGTAAGGTAATTGAATCACATGCAGACGGGAGGAATTTGTGTGGGAGTGTCTGAGTGTATTGTATGTGTTTATTGGTTGTGTTCCAAAACCCTGTGGGTGGTACTAATGTGTAAGAATGTGTACATAAGCACAATAAACCCACAACTCTGTCTGTTCACTGCTTGACCCTCAATACGGAGCTTTGTCTCGTTCTTGGGGGGATTTATTGTATGCTGTTCCAGTTCGACTGCTAGTGTAAACCTATTCGTATGGTTTTTTCCTATTCGGCTGTTTACAGCATTCATATGGTTTCCTGTTCGGCGGATTGGTGTTCTGCAGTAGCTGTGCCTGCATCTCTGGAAAGGGGGACGATCGCCTAAACGGTTTTTACCCCTTGTGTGCAAAACGGTCCGTTACAGGGGGATTATACCATTATACAGGGGGGGGATTATACCATTATACAGAGAGAGGGGGGATTATAGCATTATACAGGGAGAGGGGGGATTATACCATTATACAGAGAGAGGGGGGATTATACCATTATACAGGGAGAGGGGGGGATTATACCTGTGACAAGAGCAATCTCGCCACATTGCATTGGAGAAGCCTGGTTGCTTGCTGTGACGAAACGTCTTTTGTCACCGGATTTTCCCCTGGCTGTTGGAGGAGCCTGATTGCCAGCCTCTTGCCTCATGACTATGGCCCAGGGTTATTTGGCCCTTCAAGTACAATATTTGGGCATATTGGATTTGTATGGTGCTGCTGCTGGCCCTTTAAAAACCATCCCTGGACATAGTATGACTTTTAGGAACAATGTCCCTTTAAGACGGTGTAGCAGATTGCATTCAGGCGGTCTGCAATATTATATATGCTATTATGTGTTCGGTAAATTGTAAATGTGTAGGTTCTATGTGATAAATGTAACAGTATGTATTTTTATGTCTTTTGTTGTCCTTTGTCTGCCATGTGGCTAATGGAGTTTTGCCTCTGTCCTTGGAGATAATTGCATTACTTCTCAATTATCTCCAGGATAGAAGACTCTGAAACCAGTTAGGGCCAGATATCCATGCTGCCAGCCAGGCCCCAAAAGATACTTGTGCTAACTTCTGAACCCCTGGTCTGATTCATGCCATTTTTTAATATGTTGTTCCCCTGAATGGATTGATTGTGAATATGTAATTTTATGTGAATGTGATGTATGGTTTTAGAGTTGTGAAAGTTGGGTAAAAAGTATGTTTTAACTGTATGTGTAATTGAGTTTCCTCTCAGGATAAGGGGAGGGAATATGTGGGATGTAACTGATATGTGATTGGTTGTTTTATACCTCCCTGTGGGCGGTCCTGTATGTGAAAGGCTGTAATAAAAACCAGGCTGGGTGTGCCAGCACAGGAGTTCCTGTTTTAACCCTCAAAGTGAAGTGTCGTCTCATTATTGGGGGAAGGATTTATTATATGCTGTTCCAGTTTGACTGCTAGGAGAGTAAACCTATTTGTATGGTTCCTATTCAACTGTCTACAGCATTAATATGCTTGGGAGAATTTATTTGTTTCTCCAGTTCGGTGATTGTGGTGTCTGCTGCAGTGCTTGAAGTCCTCAGGAAGCACTAGGAGCATCCGTCAGCGGAAAGTACCCGGTCGGGGTGCCAGCGGTTCTGTTACACTCACCTGCTGCCTTTGGACTATGGCCCCCATGTTAAAAGACTTTGTTTCGCCTGCAGAAAAGCTGTATTCGTGCTTTTCTGCCGGTTGTTCGGTAGATTCAATTCGGTAGTTTTACTTGACTATGTTATACCCCAGATAGGAATCCCATTGAGCCCATTCGCATGAGAACTGACTGTGTAAAGACTTTGGCTCCATGGCGATTACACTGTATTCGTGTGGTCTGAGCGCCATTTGCTTAATAATGTGCGCTCAGACCTGAGCTATCTGGGGACATGTTAAATGTATAGTTTTATTGTAACTTGTGTCATACTGTGTATTTTAATAGTAATTCATGTGTTAGTATCCCCACGTGCATAATTGCGATTTGCCTTTGTCTTGAGAGATAATTGAATTACTTCTCAATTATCTCCAGGGCAGAGGGGAGGAAGCCAGGATGCATTGTGGGAATAAAATGTGACTGTGTGTCCTGTTTGGCTGATTGTCTGTCTTTTGTCACAGTCTCCCATTTGGTCCCCTAGGGGAGTGTCCACCAGGTGGGAGACCTGCATAAATACTGGGCAGGTAGCCCTCATTAAACAGACCACTGCTTTACCCTCAACACGGAGCCTTGTCTCGTCTTTGGGGGGATTTACTGTATGCTGATAGAGACTGATTGCTAGGAGTGTAAGCCGCTTGGGTGCTTTTCCTATTCGTCTACTAGCAGCTATTCGTGAGGTTCCAGTTCGAGAGTTTGGAGTGCTATTTTGTATCCAGTTCGGGAGTTTAGAGCATTCCCTTATATGCGGTTCGGGAGTTTGGTGTTCTGCAGTAGCTGTGCCTGTATCTCTGGAAGGGGAAGATCGACTAATAATAACCGACACAATTAAAAAAAAATAATCCATCTTCACCCATGGAGGGCTCCGCGCAGACTGAGCTCTGCAGGGCGGGGAAGACTTATAAAGCCTTGCCCCGCCCTGCAATTAAGCTCCAAACACTCTTGTGATGGAACACTGGCACTCCGACTGAGTACCTCCGCCAATCGATGCTCCTAGTGCTCGCTGAGGACTCCAAGCACTGCATCTCTGGAAAGGGGACGATTGCCTAAACGGTTTTAACCCCTTGTGTGCTGAAACGGTCCGTTACAATACCATTATACAGGGAGAGGGGGGGTTATACCATTATACAGAGAGAGGGGGGATTATACCATTATACCGGGAGAGGGGGGGGTTATACCATTATACCGGGAGAGGGGGGGATTATACCATAATACAGGGAGGTGGGGGGGGTTATACCATTATACAGGGAGAGGGAGGGATTATACCATTATCCAGGGAGAGGGGGGACTGTACCATAATACAGGGAGAGGGGGCATTATACCATAATACAGGGAGAGGGGGATTGTACCCTAATACAGGGAGAGGGAGATTATACCATTATACAGGGAGAGGGGGATTATACCATAATACAGGGAGAGGGGGATTGTACCCTAATACAGGGAGAGGGAGATTATACCATTATACAGGGAGAGGGGGGATTATACCATTATACTGGGAGAGGGGGATTATACCTATGACGAAAGCAATCTCGCCACCATGCACTGGAGGAGCCTGGTTGCTCGGCTGCTCCCTTTAGACTATGGCCCTGCAGTTCAGCCCTGTTATTTCTTCTACTGAAAGGTTTATTCGTGCCTTTCTGCCGGTGTGTTCGGTAGATTCAATCTACTGAACAAACTACCGAACGATGGACCACTTGGGAACTGTAGTGTGCCGTCAATTGACCGCCCAGAAGATGCGGTTAACCGCAGCTTAATTGATGAATGCTGGGTGGCCTTTGTTCGTCTGCCGAACACATGGCAGCGGCCATTTTACCTCCCGAACGGCCAGCGGTGTTCAACGCCCAAACTATGGAACGGAAAACGGACACTTATTGGCACGAACACAGCTGAGCCGCCAGCCTCCTTACTTCTGCATTCGGTAGCGGAACCGAATGACTGTTCATTCGGTAGTTTAACCGGATGAACAGCATCACCCAGATAGCTAAACCATGGAGCCTATTCGTGTAACGAAAAGACTATGTGAAAGACTTTGGCTTGGGATTAGAGAAATATACAGGGAGGGGGGATTAGGGCATTATAAGGGGGGATTAGGGCATTATACAGGGAGAGGGGGCGCTTAGGGCATTATACAGGGAGAGGGGGAGATTAGGACATTATACAGGGATAGGGGGAGATTAGGGTATTATACAGGGAGAAGGGAAAATTAGGGCATAGTGACGAAAGCACCAAAGTGTTTAGTTTATTTCATGTATTCCATTCAGTAGCTGTAACTACCCCCCTGTCACATTAACTTCAAAGATAACCATCATTTAAGCCCTCTCAGTGTGTTCGTATTGTCGAACGCCACGTGGCTGAGAAAATGGCAGCCATCTTGTTTTTGCGAAAGGAGGCAGCGGGACTTGGTCGTCGAGTGTCTGGAACTGAAATCGGACACTCGACTTCCCGAACACTGGTCCCAACGTACAAAAGCCTGCTTCTTATTTTCCTGGGAGAGCGCTGTTCGGTAGATTTGTTCATGCGAACAAGGGGAACAATTGCTGCTATGAGCCAGGGGGAACCATTCAGGCCTTTTTTTGTTTTTTTTGAGACTTTTCAAACTAAACCAGCAAAACCAACAAAATTTGTGGAACTGTTTTGGCCAGGAGTCTTGTGGGTAGTCGGTCACCTAAGACTTCCATGGAATTCGAAAACCCCTGAACTGAACTGAACTGGGTGATTTGTGGATATGTTTGTCACCCAGATCAGGGCTATCAGGGGATATGACTTATGGGGATACCTTATTGTTTAATGGTGAGTTTCAAAGTTTGGGTAAATTTTAACTTTTCTGCCTGGAGATAATTAAGTTATTACTTTATCAGCCTTAATTATCTCCAGGTAGAGAGGAGGGGATTATATGTTTGTACTGAGAGTGTCCCAGTGTTTTCCTGTATTATGATTGGCTGTATGATTTATGTTCCTGTGGGAGGTCCCCTTGCATGGGGACTTGCATAAAAGCCAGTGTGGCATCATTAAGCTTCAGTTCTGTTACACCCTTCATCTAGACTTTGGCTGATGTTTGGGTACCTGTCTGCTTCACTGGGAGAATCTACTTGGGAAGCTGTTATTTCGTATGGAGAATCGCTTACTTTATCTCCCGAACGGCAAGTTATAATTACACATACTCTGGCCGTTCGGGAGGGAACTACCAAATGGGTATAGGACACACCAGGGTTCCTTACAGACATTATACAGGGAGAGGGGGCATTATACAGGGAGAGGGGAATTATACCATTATACAGGGAGAGGAGGGTATTAGGGCATTATACTGGGAGAAGGGGAAATTAGGGCATTATACAGGGAGAGGGGGAGATTAGAGCATTAATTTATAAATTAATTAATAACATCATGGAAAAAAATAGGCTGATATCGACACAATAAAAATAACTGTAGAACCTGGTGTTTACAAAGCACTAATTCTTTTATTGAGATCACTTGATTAGCAATAAAACACAATGCCTGCATTTTTTTAATTAATATTATTTTATCGACTATAAAAACACGCCAAGTTAAATGTACAACGACCAAACATAATTTGCGCAATCTGTTCTATTCAGATCCAGCCTGTAAGAACAGGAGTGGAGCCCACCGAGCCAGCTACATCAATGGAGACTTCCTTTTTGACCGGAAGGTATTTATTTAAAGAGTTCTCCGGTTTGGTATTCAGTTAATGACGGAACAATCAGGGCTAGTCAGATATGTCCACCACTTCTGGTAGAATATATATTCCCCAACACTGTATGTGTCACATCTGCTGCTGAGCAGTACAGCTCGCAGAATACTTAAAGGACAACTATCATCACATTTTCACTTCTTGTGTTTGAATGTTTATTGCATTTAATTAAACATGATTTATCTATAAATTTAAGTCTCCCTGGCTGTAAGGGCCCAGTATGACTGCAACACATGCGCCCCCTTGTGTTTTCATGTAATAAGCAGTCATTAGATAATTATCTGTTATTTATAAATGCTCACTTAGCAGCCCACCATATCTGAACAATCCACCAGAGCTAGTCTGATAGGTTGTGGCAAACCTAGCCACTTACAGAATGTCCTTGTATCTTGCTATCTTGCTATTTTGCTATTACTGCATTGCTATTCCTATCTGTGGCAAAACCAGCCACTTAAAGTGTAACCCACCCTGAATGTAATATGATGTAAAGTGTATCCCTGTGTACTGCTTGGTATCTCCTAAGGCAGGAGATGGCTATCTGTAACCCAACCGCCTCCTGCCTGGGACTAAGGGAAGTCTATTGTGTGGAATGGGGACCCCCCCTGCGGAGGTCTGTGCTTAAAAGAAGCTGTAATCAAATAAAGAGTGTGACTCAGCCTGGTGAGATGCCAGTGTGTAAACCTCCAAACTGTGTGTGGTCCTTTTACTGGAGGGGAAGAAGATGTTAACCCCTGCGTCTGTGGTTCCGGCTTGCAGGGAGAAGAAAATAGAGGAAAAGTCCTGGTAAGGACAGAGAGCCTCCAGGGCTGAGTGTTGTCTGAACCTGGGAATAGGTCCCGCTACATAAGTCAACAATTGCATTGCTACAAATCTTGACGTGCACCTCTCACCTACTGTGTTATTAGGCAGGACATCTATAGCTTGGAAGGTATACCTACCCAATGATCCTATCATGCAGGTGCACACTAGTAGGTGTGGGGTGCTGCCTTATTACTTAGCAGTGGTTTGGTTGTGCTTGCTGATGTCAGTGAGCTAAAGTGTAAAGAGATCGAAAACATAATCTGAGATACATTTTCCTCTAGTAATCTGGCTAGATTATATTTTATTCCTTGGAAACTGGCACCAGTGACGGGTTTATCAATGTATTAGCTATCCTTTAAATATCTGATCTAACGGGTTCAATATAAAATCTTCTCGGGCTGATTCAGGGGAAATATCTTATTGTTTATGTTTACAAAATGAAACGCTCCATAAAGTAAATGTGTCATTCAAGAAAAATAGTATCTACACTTATTACACCCTGGTCGCTACTAACTGTATAATACAGATAACAAATTCATATTGTCATCTGTAATGTACTACAACACAGTATCACCCCAGCTTTATCATAAATGTGGAAACTCTGATAAATTGCAACAACTTCCCAGCCGAGTCAGAATGGAAATATTGCAGGAAGTTATATTAAAAAAATACCAAGCTGAGGCAATTTATTTTTAGAAACCTAGAATTGGTCTGTCTCCAGTCGGCAAATTCCTTTTTCGTCTCACATTCACTTGGGGCTTGATAATTTCAGCTTGCGATTTCTTATCTGCCGCAGGCGAAGCATGAGCTCCTTGGGAAGTTTACCCCCCTTGGCCAGCAGTTCCCTCAGACGTTGTTTCGGTGTCTTTGAGATATAAAAGTCACAGATGGTTGGACGGTCTTCATAGGAAACACGGCACGTCTTGGTTGATGGATGGTATCCTTCAGCCTTGGCAGTGACTTCATATTCCCCTGGGTTGAGAAGACGCCAGTAATCCCCATCAATTGCTGTTAAATTAAAGGAAAACATGTGGATTATAGTAGACCTCTTATTCACTTGATTTTATCAAATTTTTGAAGATCTGTAATTGAACTTCAAATTGAACTTTGCATCCATAACCATCCCTCATACACATGTGCAATAAATAAATAAAAAATCAGAAGTCCAGTGATACTTTCATCAGGTGATAAGTCTCTAAACATCAGGATTCCTTACTTGGATGTAACATCAGGATGTAAGGCCCGGCAATGCCATTCTAGAGATGTTTATATCTCCTTCCCAGAATTTTAGAATGTTGCAGATTAGCAAACAAGTAACCGATGAGTATATTGAAAATCGAGTTTGCTCTACCTGTGCGGATGTCATGGTTAAGGCCATCCACTGCAATGATGGCCTCTGGAATTCCCTTTTCTGTGTCTTTGTCACGTACCACACCTTTGATGCCTCGATGGACCTGCAAAATATGCATATTATTATATATATCCTAATGTAAGCTATTGTGTAATAATTACTTTGCATTGCGATTAATAAATCCTTTTGATGAAACTTTGAATACATGATCAATGGGTAACTGGATAAATATAGAATTAGGAAATGGTCAATATGAGGTCTAAACAGGGAGACCATACAGCAGAACCCATCAAGCCCCCCCTCTGTCTGCCTGCCTGCCATTGCCATCCCATGGACAGGGAGAGTCCTATTGTTTTTCAAACCACTTAAAAAAGTTTTGTCAAAACTAGGGAGGCTGTGCACACAGAGTAGTTGCTCCATAATATTCTCGCCTTCAAGATTTCTCGAGGGCTGCACCGTTCCTGTGGAACTCGCTTCCCTCCTCCGTTAGATGCCCACCCAGTCTCCACTCCTTCAAAAAATCGTTAAAAACCCACTTCTTCATAAAAGCTTATCAATTAAACTGTCAATAGCTCCTGACTGATTCCTCTTCTGCAACTGTCACTAGTCTAATACTATCCTTACCTTTTTGTGTCATTTTACCCCGCTCCCTCTAGCATGTAAGCTCATTGACCCCTCTGTTCCTGTGTGTCCAACTTGTCTGGTTACAACTACATGTCTGTTCGTCCACCCATTGTAAAGCGCTGCGGAATTTGACGGCGCTCTATAAATACAATAATAATAATAATAATTATTATTATTAGCTGTAGTGTTTATGGTGCTTAGGGTGGCCATTTAAATTAAGTATTTGTCATCAAAACACAAATTTGAGTGTTCCTCATCTGGCCTCCATCTTTTGCCACCTATAACAGTATCTGCATGTGAGTGCTCCCAGCTGTGCTGTTAGTAGCACACAGTCCATCCCCTACTAGCGGTTCGTATAAAGACCTGTTCCATGTAGACCAGGAGAGATTCTTTGTTATTCTCCCATTCAGTAGGAAGCTCCACCTCGTGTGGGAATTTGTCACAGGAGAGCTCCACCGTCACCTCAAAACAATTGGTATGAAGGTAGCTGAAATCATTCATACCTGAATGAAAAACATAAGGCAACTTCAGGGCTATGTATCTTAATGTAATGGATCTATAAATAGAGTTTATTGAGAACATCACAGGACTCAGAGAGTAAAGAGAATCTACTGCATGGAACCTCAAGTGAAGCTATCTTGGTTGTGGCAGGACAGTTCCTAGTTTTGGGTCATATACTGCCGTCCTGGCCTTACTGACCGTTGGACACCAGGGAACTGTCCCCAAGAAGCATAGATGCACTCACGCTATTACCAGGGTGTTAGGACAAAGCAAAGAGTGCTAAAAAAAATGCTCCTTGCATTATTTGACTTTGGTGGGCCGACCTACCTGATTGGCATACTGTCTGACATGCATTCACGTCAGGTTAACCTCTTAATTCTATAGGTGGACCTGTCCCTTTCCGGGGGGATCCAACCCTTTGGGCAGAGCCAATGACACAAATCATGTCTATGGTCTGCCTCCTTTTACCCTTCACACTGGTGTCCTGTGAAGTTGTAAGGTATACAACAGCAGGGCCGGCCCATGACACCACATGCACTTTGACAGGGGCAGAATTTTGCTGCCCTGTACTGTGCATGGCCCGGGCACTACACAATTTGCATGTCATAATTGATGTGGGCGTGTGTTTTGATAGGTGTATTTTGTTGGGGGGGAGGGGGGAGTGTCAGCATTTTATCCTTGACCCAGGTAGCACAACGTCTTAGGCCGGCCCTGGAGAGGCCTAAGAGGCAGTATAATATTAAATATTTGATAATGTTCATATAAGAAACAATTACCAGTTGTGTTTCTGAGTGATATTGTGATATTGTGCACAGTAATAATGTATAACAAATATTTGTTTTCTATACAAGCAAATCTTCAAAGCTATTAATATGATTTTACTAACTTCCAGCCACAGTGTGCCAGTCTGCTCCATTGATGATGTTGCCATGTCTTATGAAGTTCTCATTGTGGCAGATTCTATGATTGTCCTCAGCCATGATGCGGTGGGTAGTGGCATAGACTGTGGCCAGCCAGCGAAACATGGAATCATCCGGAGTTGGTGTCAGCTCTTTGGCCAACCAATAGGAACGTGTCATGTCATAAGGGTATGAAACCACTAGTTCACCACCATGCATGTTGGCGCTGAGGACAAAGGGGATTTTCTGCATCCAGTCAATCACCGCTCGAGTTTCAGGGGCAACCTACAAAGAAACCACCGTGCTAGTCAGTATCTTAGAAACACAACATGCAAGCAGAAAAATACATACAAAATAGTTAATCTAAGCATAAGATAAGGCTGCCTTACCAAGAGTATCAACTGGAGATAGAGTATGTGTTACATTTGTTAATATTGAATCAGCCCAAGGAATGTTGACTCGTTTTAAAAATGTTCTTTTAATAACAAAAAAAAATAATCTTTATTGGTTTCTGAGGGCTCTCAGTAAAATCTTCTTACATTGCTACAGTGATTAAAGTCAAATCTCTCCTGTAAATCCCAATTAACAACCAACAAAGGCTCATTGGGATTCCAAGCATGAATATCCGCAATTTACAGATTATGGTAGGATATAAAAAGGAGATAGATCATGAAAACATAGGAAATAAAAGTTTTTTTTTATAATTGTAAGGCCAGCTTCATTTCCAGTCTTTACCTTGACACCTTCCAAAATCATATACTTCAATAAGGACCGTGAGGAATGTTTACTTTTTGTCTCTGTCACTTTGCAGGTTTGCTTTTATATTAATTGTTTTTTTTTTGTCTCTCTATAACTCCTAGGGTGTGTTGCCAAACTAACTTACCCACAATCCATCCGTTAAAAGAATCTGACAGAAGGACAAACGGAAATCATAATAGACAGAGGGGAGCAAAATGGTGGCACTGGGATATTAAGATTCAGAGCAAGAAATAAAAGCTAGATATAAATAATTAATTAAGATACAGGGGCACAAGGAAAGGAAAACCGAAATAAAACAACATGACAGTACTGCTCTAACTCAGCTTTATGGCCGGCTTGGAGAGTCCATGTAACAGACAGTACTCACCGTGGCATTGGGCAGCGTGTAGTATTCAGGAATTGGAATATAATGATTAGGAAACTTGTGTGGGACCTGTTCATTATCCTCAGCTTCCCACAACGGAGTGTTTAGATCCGCAAAGTTGTGGTTTAGGTCGATCCCTTGGTAAGTGTAACGACCGATGGCCCACCCAGACAGCTCGGAACCCTGGGGAGATAGCACGTGGATTTGTTAAAACAGACATTGTACAGCTGGAATGCCACAACTGGAAAACTATTATGGTTATGTATGTTTAAAGATACTTATGTCTTTTATAATTGGAGTATTATATTATGTGTAAAATACCACCACCCCATTTGGCAGTAAAATGGTCAAATTTGCAATTAAACTCACCTTTATTTCATGCTCAGGAGAGTCACATCTCTGCAGGTCTGAAATAAATTCTGTGAAGTCATCATTACTGATAACTTGTGTCCAGCCAGATGCTTTAAGAAGCACTGGGACAAATTGTAAAAAATACTATATTATTGTTATTATTATTTATAAAGCGCCAACAAGTTCCGTAGCGCTGTACAATGAGTGGACTAACAGATATGTATTTTTAACCAGGCAAGTTGGACGCACAGGAACAGAGGAATTGAGGGCCCCGCGGCACCGCTCAATGAGCTTACATGCTAGAGGGAGTGGGGTGAAGTGACACAAAGGTAAGGGTAGGGGTAGAAAAGTAGGTTGCTAGGATAGTATTTATTGAGTGTTTTGTTTTGATGACAGTTTCAGGAGCGGAATATGGGTGTGGGGAGGGGACGCTGTTCACAGTTTAATTGATATACTCTGCTAAAGAAGTACGTTTTCAAAGATTTTTTAAAGGAGTGGAGATTGGGTAAAAGTCTAACAGAGAGGGGAAGGGCGTTCCATAGGAGAAGTCTTTAAGGTGAGCATCAGAGGTGTCTGTACGAACAGAGGTCATGTGTAGGTCTCTGGCAGAGCGTAGGGGCCTAGATGGGACATATTTGTGTATTAGTGAGGATACATAGGTCGGAGCAGAATTGTGCAGAGATTTGTAAGCAAGTAAAAGGATCTTAACTTGAGTCCTATATCTTACAGGAAGTCAATGTAGGGACTGACAAAGGTGGGAGGCACAGGAGAGTAGTTTTCTTTTGAAGAGGAAAGAGCCAGACTGTAGGAGTGCAGCATAAATTTATAGTGGAGAAAGTCAGACACAGAGTGAGACTTTCTCCAACAGCGTTCAGCAGTTCTGTAACATTTTTGGAGGTATCGGGTCAACTTGGTGTGCCAGGGTTGTAATTGGGGGCGCGTAATGTGTTTAAGTGTAGGAGGTGCCATGATATGTAGTTGAGAGGAGAGAGTGGAACTGTAGAGGGAGGTTGCAGTATTAGGGCAGGTGAGATTTGAGATGGCCGAAAGGAGACTTTGGTGGAGAATTGCTGTAGGTCAAGACATTGGAGGTTTGTGCAAGACTGATGTGGTGAGGGTGGTGTACTTTGGGTACGGGGTATGCGGATGTCGAAGCACTCACTTCTGCTTTAAAGGATTTTTAATAGTTTGCTTACTCATCTCTGTATTGAATACATGAGTATCTGTGAGGTGTGGATATTAAATGTATGCAGGTGGGTGTCTCCATCTTGGCTCCCTGTCAATCTGTGTTATTAATTCTGTTTGGTGAATTCACATTACCAGTTTGTATGCCTGTTCATATCCATCTGGGTTCATTGAGGGCAGCAGGTGGATTCGAGTCTCTGTCACTAGGCGCACAATGCGGGGATTGCCCTTTTTATATTCCAGGCAGAAATACTCCATGAGGTTCAGCATCAGCTCCCGGCCCACCACCTCGTTTCCATGCATCCCTGCCACGTACCGGAATTCAGGCTCCCCTAGACACAGAATATAATGTTAGTAACATTCCATGAGAAAAAGAGACACAATATGTTCCTAGTCTGCGAATAAACTAGTCCAAAGCCTTAATGGTTTAAATATATTATACGTTTCACTTATCAAAACCAACACAGGGCAAATAGGATTCAAAGGACTTACCTTAAAATAATAAATACAACACTAAAATCTCCATATTAAAAGGGTGCATTCTCTCCTCCCAGTCCACTTTCCTTGTGCCTTCATTGACACTAATTAATGAACCTCCCACCTTCATTGCCACAAATCCCACCATTTACCACCTTTACTGCTTCTAGTTCATGAAGCTCCCATGTTTCCTGCCACTAATTCATAATCCCCCACTATCTCTACCCCTACTTTTACCCTTTGTGTCACTTTACCCCACTCCCTCTAGCATGTAAGCTCATTGAGCAGGGCCCTCAACCCCTCTGTTCCTGTGTGTCCAACTTGTCTGGTTACAATTACGTGTCTGTTAGTCCACCCATTGTACAGAGCTACAGAATCTGATGGCTCTATATAAATAATAATAATAATGAACCTACTACATTTTCTACCATTAATCCTTAAATCGCCCACCTTCATTGCCTCTAATTCATGGACCTCTCACCTTCACTGCCACAAATCCCTAAATCTTCCACCTTCACTGGTTATAGTTTATGAACCTCTCACCTTCACTAGTTATAGTTCATGAAACTCTCACCTTAACTGGTTATAGTTCATAAACCTCTCACCTTCACTGGTTATAGTTCACTGATTACAGTTAATAAACCTCCCACCTTCACTGGTTATAGTTCATGAACCTCTCACCTTCGCTGGTTATAGTTCATGAACCTCTCACCTTCACTGGTTATAGTTCATGAACCTCCCACCTTCACTGGTTATAGTTCATGAACCTCTCACCTTCACTGGTTATAGTTCATGAACCTCTCACCTTCACTGGTTATAGTTCATAAACCTCCCACCTTCACTGATTATAGTTTATGAAACTCTCACTTTCACTGGTTATAGTTCATAAACCTCTCACCTTCATTGGTCATAGTTCATTAACCTCCCACCTTCACTGGTTATAGTACATTAACCTCTTACCTTCACTGGTTATAGTTCATTAACCTCTTACCTTCACTGGTTATAGTTCATGAAACTCTCACCTTCACTGGTTATAGTTCATAAAACTCCCACCTTCACTGGTTATAGTTCATGAACCTGCCACCTTCACTGGCTTTTGTCCATGAACCTCTCACCTTCACTGGTTATAGTTAATAAACTTCTCACCTTCACTGGTTATAGTTCATAAACCTCCCACCTTCACTGGTTATAGTTCTTGAACCTCCCACCTTCACTTGTTATAGTTCATAAACCTCCCACCTTCACTGGTTATAGTTTTATAGTTCATAAACTTCGCTGGTTATAGTCCATGAACCTCTCACCTTCGCTGGTTATAGTTCATGAACCTCTCACCGTCACTGGCTATAGTTCATAAACCTCCCACCTTCACTGGTTATAGTTTATAAACCTCTCACCTTCACTGGTTATAGTTCATGAACCTCCCACCTTCGCTGGTTATAGTTCATAAACCTCCAACCTTTACTGGTTATAGTTCATGAACCTTCCACCTTCGTTGGTTATAGTTCATGAACCTCCCACCTTCACTGGTTATAGTTCATGAACCTCCCACCTTCGCTGGTTATAGTTCGTGAATCTCTCACCTTCACTGGTTATAGTTCATGAACCTCCCACCTTTTCTAGAACTGATGCATGGATCTCCCACCGTCTCTGCCACTAATGCATGAATCTCCCAACTTGATTTGTAGATCTTACCAAGTTCATGTTCTCCTGGATTGTCTGATATTTCCATGACGTACATTTTGAGTCCATTGTAACTCTTGCCTATGCTGTATACTCGGGTGATCTCTGGACATTCCTCGTTCACTCTCTTCATCAGCTGCAGGAAGAACAATAAATCTGCTTGAAACAAACTATCAGGGTGTATATGTCACCTGTGGACAAATCACTGAAATGCTGTCCAGGAAACTGGAATTAAATCCTTTTTTAATGTTAGAGTGATCAGCTGCAAGGATTGAGTCAGAACAACTTGTTCACGTTTTATGTTCCTCAATAGTTTGGGCACTTTGCTGCGAACAGCAAATTAGGTCCATTTAAACAGTTTAAAATATATAGAAGAATTCCACCACATTACTTTATATTCATTTCCAAACAACAAGGCGGCACCTCACCTGATGTGTGCACGAATCAAAGACATAATCACACAGATATATTCTGCAAACAATGAAGTAAGTAACTCTATACTTAGTAACTCTATACTTCATTGGGTCCAATAAACCGAATGGTTCAGACACACTCAGCATTACAAAGCACTTTACACAGCCTAAACCAGGGTTCCCCAAACGCTTTCTCCAGATGTCAATGAACTACAACTCCCATGATTCTCTGGCTGTTTCATTCAAAGAATCATGGGAGTTGTAGTTCAGTAACATCTGGAGGGTCAGAGTTTGGAGAGCCGTGGCCTAAACTAAAGGCAGGAATCCAGGATAGAGATCTGTCAAATTTAGTTTAAATATTCTGACCCGTAATCCCTATGTGTAAATTCTTGGTAAGGAGGAATCAGTGGGGAGCAAGGTCCGCTGACCTTTTGTGGATTTGATAAGTAACGCTCAGTGACCTCCTCGGAAGGCTTTCCGTTGCCTTTCTATTTACCAAAAATGTTTTTGTGATAAACAAATGAAACACATATTCTCTGTGGGTAAACCACAACATAAGCTGTTTCTGCGCTACATTTTATGGATCCCTTTAAAGAGGAAATTCAGTCAGTTTGTTTTGAGTTTCATTTCAAACCTGAAGAATCTGTGTGAATCCGGCTTCTAGTTAATCTTTCTAAAATCGAATGGTACGTTTGATGGCCCCATTGTAATAGAGGCGAAGCAGCGACATCTAGTGGACAATTAACAGTATGGCAGGTATGTGTTTTGTGGACATTTTATCGCAGGTTAACCCCTGGGTGAATTGATGTGAGGGTTTTCTTACCTCATACTGCTCTTGCAGTTGAACATGTCTATAGACATTTCACCCACCATTTTATACTATATACTAGACTGCCATGTGGAACAAAGCAAATGTAGGTACAGAGAACATGCCCAAGCGATTTATAACCCATTGTACAGCGCTACGGAATCTGATGGCGCTATATAAATAATACAATAATAATAATCTCTATAAACTCTAATAAACCCTATAAAATGATGTATCGTTTTGTTCCTCAATGTGTGTCTTAGTATAGTGATATCTACCGATTCACGTCACCAACACCGCGACTTCCAACAGCACAGAAAGGTAATCGACTAGCCACAACAAGATCTTGGAATATTTTCGAATCCTTCATCTTTTTATTCATAAAAGAAAATGTGGTTTTTTTTCGACAGTATTGAAAACAGATTCACAAATAAATGAAAATGAAGATGGAATTTCTCTTGTGTGCATTGTTTGGTATAAAATACTTTAATATACACAGTGAGGGTTGGAGTCTATTAGAATAGAGTTAAGTAACAATGTTCATTCAGCAGTCACCCATCTCCCAATGGATATCCTCAGTGTTTCTGCTCTGGGTACAACTAATGAAACCCTTTGACCATAATATTTATCTTCCTGCATTTCATTGGTATTTAGTTAGAAATGGAATATGCCCCTTTTTCTGTGGTGGGCACAGCGGGTTAGCATGTCTTCCACCCACCCATCCCAACCATTTATAAAGTGTTACTTACCTCAAGGCTTTAATTAGCTCTGTATTGCATACAATGTATAGGAATTGCAAAGATTTATTGCTAGCAGCGCATGCTCTTAAGGTGGTGATGCTAAAAGTACAAGCTCTTAAGGAAGTATTGCTATCAGAGCATGCTCTTAAGGTGGTATTACTAACACAAGCTCTCAAAGGAACCCTAAAACATTAGTTATCCAAACATGTATTCCTAACACTATAGCTCTAGCTGTTTAGTTTATCAGCCCCTACCATTTTTAGCTAAGTAAGTTTTACTTATCTATCTCACCTCGCTCTTCTCTACAATTCTTTTCCCACCTCCTTCGTTGAGTTGATCAAAGCTGATGATCTAAGCCAATGCAATGCTTCTCCATAGAGCAAGATGTAGCAAAAAGTTGTGCTGTGACAATCAAATGCTGCTCTATGATCTATAACTGAGTTTGACTTGGTTACAGCAGAGGGAGAGCCTCTAGTGGCTGTCAGGAAGACAGTCACTACAGACGTGCTAACCCTGCAATGTAAACATTACGGTTCTTACAGGAATGCAATATTTTACAATGCAGGATTAAAATGGCAGGAGCACTGCACCCAGACCATTACATTGAGATGAAGCGGTTAGGTTGCCTTTAGTATTCCTTTAAGGAAGGTTTGCTAACAGAGCATGCTGTTAACATGGACATACTAACAGTACAAGTGTTTATATTTCCCTGGTGGTCTAGTGGTTAGGATTCAGCACTCTCACTGCTGCGGCTCGGGTTTGATTCCTGTTCAGGGAATAGTAGTTTATCTTAAATTAGAGGGACAAAGGTTTAAAAATAATATCAGGAAGTATTACTTTACTGAGAGGGTAGTGGATGCATGGAATAGCCTTCCAGCTGAAGTGGTAGAGGTTAACACAGTAAATGAGTTTAAGCATGCGTGGGATAGCCATAAGGCTATCCTAACTATAAGATAAGGCTAGGGACTAATGAAAGTATTTAGAAAATTGGGCAGACTAGATGGGCCGAATGGTTCTTATCTGCCGTCACATTCTATGTTTCTATGTTTATAAATCCCAGAGGGAATGTGACCTCTGTAGGGAGATTCTTCAGAGATTGCCATAACATCAGAGACCACAAATAACCCATCATTACCTTCCTCATCTCCTTGTAGTTGTGGTGTTTAAATTCCAGTTTATCTGTTGGTTGGGGTTCATGTTCCCATAAAAACACAGTGTTTGGATCTGGAGAAGAAATAAACATTTAGCAGACATTGAAAACAATTAAAGAACTAATTCTTACAAATTCCTATAACTGTATCAGAACCCACCCCCCTGTAGAATCGAGAGGGATATGTTAAAGCTCCTTTGCGTTGCCCAGGTGGGCTTGGACTCCTTGCTGCTCACCTGGACGTGCAAGAGCAGTGAGAGGTCATCACTGGACTCTGCTTTCAGTTATGAGGAATGGAGGAAAAAACATCAACATTCCGACATTCCCTTAGAAGAACTCCCCTAACAGTATATATTTCAGAGTTTTCTTATTGTATTTAGCCGCTCATTCATTATTGTCAGACAGCCACTGTTGCCACTTACTGCCTAACTCAGAGTGTTTCATGACTGTGGTACCTGGTAGTGAGCATCCGAGGATCTCAGCCCTCAAGCAGATGGTTCCATTCTCAAACCAGGTCTGTGGATTAATCCTAATGTATCGCCCCACCATCGGCTTGGGCAGGAGGTTTAGCACTGGAGTCTCAGGATCCTTATTTGCGTTAAAAATCTGGAAAGTAGAGAAAATAGTCTTTTTAAATTACATTCGCCTTTCCTTGTTTTATAGCAAATACTGAAACATTTGCAGGTTAAAATTATTTCCATGACAAGGGTAGTTTATTCCTGTCTTTGTACGGCTGGACTCGAGATTAAACCTCAGTAGCTGTAATCCTGACGGATGTGTCTTCCGCAAATCTATAACTGTATACTATTTATCTGTAGTTGTTATGGAAATTCTGGTGAAGTAGTGAACTCATATATTTAATATGTTCACATCTATTTAATATCTCACATTAACAGTTTGTCCATGGTGGGTGCATCCTCTCAACTTGAGGGGACTGAATTATTGTTTGCATTTATTAAGCGCCAACATGTTCGACAGTGCTTTATAGAAAGGGCAGCTCTGTGATATAGCAGGAATGTCATTTTATAATGAACAATGAAAATCATTGCCAATAGGGCCAACACCTTTGAGTAAGGAGCTCTGAGCAGGATTATAACAGCTGTGTGCACTGCTTCTAATCCCTCGATGTGGAGTCCTGTTACTTAAACTAATGTTAATAATCATAATGCTATTGCATTGCTACTAATACATCTAATACTCCTGTTCTACTCTCTGTGCAAACTAACAGAAAATTAAAGCATTAGGAATACAAACCTCTGTCATGGTCCCTTGGTGCCATGCTCCCTTGGTAGATAGTTGTCCTCACCCTACCCATATGTCCTATAAAAATACTAAACTAACACTTTTTAGTCACATTTTCCAGCAGCAAGAGAGCCTCCCGGGTCATCATGGAGGAAGAATAACTTACTCAGGCTTGGTCCAATTCAACGCTCCTCTGTAAGGAGCATTTGTGGAGACGTCAGCATCACGTGGCATGTTTACACAGTCAGTGCCACAGAAGTGCCTCTAGTGGCTGTCAGTGAGATGTTCTTGAAAATTGTAATGTTTTACATTGTGGGGTTAAATGGACAGGACCACTGAACCCAGATGACATTTTGAGATGAAGTGGCCTGTGTGACTTTAGTGGTCTGATTTCCATCAGGATTTCTGTAATTACATACAGCTTATGGACTCGTAATGAGGAGTGTTTTCCGAAAAGATCATAAATTACCTATGGACTATTGTTGTGGGGGGATTTGGTTTGAAAAGTGCCTCAAGGTTCTAGATGGGGCTATCACCATGGAAATGTTCACTACGTCTTAGATTGCAACACCTTAATAATGGGGACATTTTCCTTATAGCGGTGTTTTAGAACACTGCCAAGCCTTTCACTGGCACATGTCCAATAGCAAATTGATTAATGTCTTGCACGATCACTTAAATGTTTACTTTACTTATTGTATACAGGCAATGGGTTGACTAGAATAATACTAGCCCATTCTTAATAGAATAATTAATAGGTGCTACTATGGTATATTTCTTTAATATAAAATAAGGTACGAGCTAGACCACCACAAACATTCTTTCAGGATTCTGTTACAAATGCTCTATTTGCATTTACATTTACTAGAATCCTTAAAAAATTAGATTTTTTTTATGTTATATATTTTTTCTGCCATATGTTTTAGCTGAAGAACATCATTTTATTTTGATAGAATGTAAGCCGTTGATTGTAATATTGTTTTTTCCTGTAATATTAGCCATTAATTCTGTGTAGATATTACCAGGGTCTTTACATGTTAAATATTACCAAGCCAAGAGCGCCTGGAAACTGGCAGAAACTGTGTTCACTTTTCGGCTGGAAATCAAAAGTAATTCCAGGAACGGGTCAGAAGCCAAAAAAAGTACCACAGGAAGGCGTCATAGTGACCAGTGCAAACTTTGTGGTTTGTTGGTGGTGAAGAAAAATCAGGCTAATTATTGTTGTCACCACGTGTACACTTCCCAAAGATAAATAAACTATGGCTTTTAAGTAGGGTAATTATTTTGAGGACTTTCTAACCACAACAAGGCACAGTCCCAAGTGTCAGGGAAACTTCTCAATATTCTGCGCACCTTCAGGACCAACACGGTGTCTGACTGCTGTTTGGCACATCCTGACGTTTCTTAAATTCAATTTAACATTTCTTTTTAATTAAGAATATATGCACAACAGTACTGGAATTATAAGTATATGATGAAATGACACAAAAAGAAAAAGAGAAAAAAAAATAAACAACAAAAGAACAATATAGAAATAAGTAGTCAAACAAACTATAAGGACAGTCCCCAGACTGCATTCGCAAAACATCAGAAAACTGTATTAAAAGAATAAATATGAGGGAAACTGGTATGAGGCAATCCAGAACTCTGTCAACAAAAACATGCAACCCACCACAAGATAAAGAATAAAAAGGGGGAAGGAGGGGGGAACAACAAGAGGCAGGGAACGGACAGGAAGTCAGCCGGGTTGCAGAAAAATAAAATAGTGCAGATAATAATGAAAGACAAATCACAAGGATAGGAGCCGGGATCTGGATTTATCAATGTTTCTTCCTCTGAAACATTGAATCTCAGAGGCCTATAGGACGGCACTCTATAAATTCTGTTAGAATACATGATATATTTAAAACGGGACCCACGTTCAAAATGTTTCTAGATTGAACCTGGAGCCTTTCCGAGCTGTTAGAAAGCAGCAAATATAAAGTATAAGGGTTGGCAGATGTAATGAGAGAGCTGCCAACTAAAAGTCTTTATTCTGGATTTGCACCAGCTTACTCCAAGTGAGCGCCAACGCTTGCAAGTTTATAGAGAAATCATATGAAATGTAACCGGTTATATAACACCGGGATACTGCACGTTCATTATCTATTTCCTTGCTACCCAGAGAACCTCACATAACCTCAAACGTGTCTAAAGAGAAGCCTTACCATTATTTACTGTCATCGAATGGCAAGCTCCTCAATAAAGATTTAACAATTGTGAAGGCACGGAGGGAAAACCTTTTAATAAGATAATATATATTTATATTATCAGCAAGGTATGCTTTCTGTGATCTGCAAATACATTACAAATAATGCCTGTCGTGTGCAGTTTCACTCATGAATTCATAGAATATCCAGTTGTGCGGCGCAAATTATATCAGGAAGCGTTGGGCAACGTTTCTATCTTCCCAGGATGTCTAGTTTAATTTCTGTGCCTTTAGTAGTCCAGTTGTTTAGGTAAATCGTCCTTTTCCTGTGTTATTTTATGGGGGCACCAATCTATTATTTCAGTGTCCATATATGTAAGCTGATTGCCTGCAAATCTGACAGACTGTACGGGTTTAATAAAGAAGTTAATTAGATCATTTCCACAAACATAATGCAATGTCCGTCATGAAATGTCTGGATTGGGTCGACAAATTGCTGAAAGGTTGGTCAAACAATGATTAATTCAGGACAATGACATGTCACCCACACTTCATTCTATATATAGATCCTCTATCCACAAATGCTCATCATTAAATATCCACAAACCGCGTGTAGCCCGGTAAGCTAATACATTCCTGTGGGGTCCCATCCTGCCAATCAGTGAGTGACAATATCTGTACAGACACACAGCCTATAAAAGAACGAATTCCAGGGAGGCAATCAGTGGGGGAGAGCTGGCAGCCTTTGCCCTGGATGGGGAATTATTAGCAAACTGGCCCATTTTTCATGTGCTCCAGCCCAACCTCGCAGAATTTGGGTTCCGTTCTGTTATAAATCTTAATAAATCAGCAGGTTTAGGGGGGAACTGTCACTTCATTGCATAAACCATGGGAAGTCATCTATAAGTTATGTTGACCTCTTTTAACCCCTTAAGGACCAAACTTCTGGAATAAAAGGGAATCATGACATGTCACACATGTCATGTGTCCTTAAGGGGTTAATGATATTTAGCAAATTACATTGTTATCTAGTGCAGTCCATTCACAGTCAGAGCACACAATGCAAATGAAGAGGAGAAATAGAATCATTGTTTCAGTCTCTATGCTGACTAAGATAGAGGCGCCCATTTACGGGATGAAGAGGTTTGGATTTACATATTTAATTCTATTTTAGGCAGTTATAAGTAAACATTATACTACAATTCCTGGTAAGTGACAGTTCTCCTTTAAGCTCTGCTCTCCGTAGCCAACATTTGGTCCATGGTCCATGTGTACTTACCGCATCCTCAGTCCCATTCTTGCACGTCTTCCAGGTGTGAGTGTCATTACTGACCTGGACTTTGTATGACGTCACCCAGTCATCACTACGAGAGAATGATATGTTCTAATTAGCAGACTAATGCTGGTTAACACTCGGCTATCGTTTTATTCTCAATACATTCTCTGTATCCGCTTCTTTGTGTGTGGATGAATGGACAATTTAGAAAAATATGACAGTATATCAGATTATAGAAAGAACTCAGCATGTTTTAGTGATCTGAGGATTTATTAAAATTGTAACGCTATAACTCACCACATATGATTGATTACCTTTTATGACAAAAGCAATGACAATGATTTAAAAGAAGACTAACAATATAATATTGTGCTGACTAGTCCGAGATCGCTCTTCCATGTTGACACACACGTTGTTCTCCAAGCTGGATCATAGGTCATTAGTCAGCGGGGGTCTCACTACATCTAAACAATAATGCTATGCTTCAATATGCATAATACAATATACTTTTGATATAATTCTACTATTTGACCTCCACAACCTCCGCTTTGTACTTCCTGCTGGACATATAATTTATTGAGCTCTCATACTTACGTCCAGATTGAGTTCTTGCCCTGAGTGATGACGCCCGTAAAGCGGGTGAGTCTTCTGGCATCAACCTCAAACCACTGCTTTTTGTTTGCTTCTCCTGCACACCAGCCGCCATCGTAAAAGTCTTCATCGTAAATCCCTGACTGCGGAATGGCAAGAATGGTAAATAATAACAAAGTAATGGGGCTAATCTTGAGCAGGGACTCGGATAGTAAGTTTTTGTGTTGCTAAATGTCCGTGTGGCATATTAGGGCTATGCACCATTCTATAACAATGTTGTAAGAGAAACTTGTATTCCATTAAATATCATCTAGGTTACGTTCTAAGCGTTGTGCATTGTTGTGTAATGTGTCTTTGTATACAATATGTTTATACAGATTTCTAAATCCATACTAAGCATGTGAATTGTTACTCATACTCCATGTTTGAATAGTTTTGGCGTCCCACCTGTATGTTGAGTCGTCCTCGGTGTGACCCCAAACCAAAGCGTTTGATGCTTGATGTTCTCAGCTGATAGTCAGATATTCTCATGGATTCCAGTCCCAGCGGTGGACATTCTGCAGACACAGGAGAGACATTGCTGGACTTTTCCAGAATTGGTGCTATTTATTGTTAATGCCTGGCCTGGACTACGGGAGCTGAGTGAGAACATCAGGTAAAGGAGTTAATTGCCGTATCACTTAGCAGCAGAGGATGGAAGTTCTCCAATAATACAATGCCATCCCCTTAAATATTTAGTTCTTGGGGTATTTTAGAGGTGAAGAAAGTGATATGCCTCAGACAGTGAAAGGTAGTCCTACCACTGAATTTCCGGCATGGAGAGATATATAACAGGTCATTGATGAGTGAAGCTTAAAGCCAATTCTGTCAATTTAACCCAAAGCCCAAACCATATTGTTTCCAACTGTTTCCAACAATATATCTGAATAGATGCACACACCCACCTTGTAGTAGGCAGAACACTGCCATGTCTTGGTAAGGTCTCCTCAATACAGCAAACTGGTGCAAAGTATTCAAAGTAGCAAGTGAAGTTCAACAGTTTAAAGGGACACTTCAGGCACCATAACCACTTTATCTTTTTAAAGTGAGTATGGTGTCAGTACCCTATCTATTGAAATCTGCACTTTTTCTAAAAGCACTTCAGCAAGTGTCCCTTTAACGTGACAATTCAGCTGCTTTTATTAGACACAGTAACATCTTCTCTCAAGTTCCAGTTCTGTTTCACCCTTTGATAAATAGACAGGTTTGATTCCTCACTAGCCTCAGGCTGTAGTCTTTAACCTCTGACCTCCCATCTGGTTTTGTTTTATGAATGAGCAGTCTGTGCTGGGGCCTGTCTAGTATCATAACTCCTGCTATGTAGACATGCAGAGTGTTAAGGATAAACCAGACCCTGCAATCAGGATTGTATAGCACGCTGCTTGTGATATGTAACTGCGAAATGGTCAGATACAAACAATCACCATAAAATAAAACATGGCTTCTTTGGGGCTGTGTCTACTAAATTGTTAACATGGTTTTTATTTTGTCAGTGGAGTGTTCCTTTAAAAAGTTGCAGTTAAAACGTCACTGAATAATAAGGTAACACAATGATGATGCTGTGTCTATAACGGCCACCAAATATCAGTGTAGCATTAGAAGAAATTAATTTTAGGGTTGGGGGATTAGGGATAGAGGGTGTTTGGCGGTGGGGATGGGATTTGTGAGAGTTAGGGATTACCTCACTTTAACATGCCACGGATTGTAACTCCCATAATTCTCAGACTGGCATAATGAATGTCACATACCGAAATGTACGTGTTCTATAACTGGATTGTGTTCCAATAAACCTTCACTTTCCTATAGAACAGACAGTTATTGTGAATAATTTACTATATTTGAGAGTGGTTGGAGTTACAGTTCAAAACACATTAAATCTAAATCCCTCATTATACTCTCTGCCCAAAATCCCTCCATTTTCTTTACACAGCCTCTTTTCTTTTAATCAGTTTAAAGAATCTGAGGTCATGGAATCGCCTGGAATTCCTTATTGACCTATTCATCTGCATCTTTCTAACTCTTCCATTTATAGTAAATCCTGAAATTCCATTTATTAGTAAATAGGAATATATTTGATACCGGAAAGAAAGACATTTAAACTGATCCCCTGACTTACTCACTAAATACCCCAGAATGTCCCTGCACCCCATCATTTACCCATGGAGCTGGGTCTGATATACTGAACTGTTACAGTATATTAATTACTCCCCAGCCTCTCACATTGTGTTTTATTCTGGCACTCAGTGATATTATTAGGTGGAGTTAAGATGGCCTCGAGTTTCTTGGCTGAAATATACTGAATATTACTCAGCCTCTCACATTGCCGCGCATGTTCTGAGTTTCTGCTTAATAGACATATTTCTGAGATAAGTCACCAGCCAGTCTCCCAGCATTTTATATTACTGGTAAAAATCACTGCTCTGGAAATGACAATATTAAATAAAATACTGGAAATCACCCATAACTCCTGTGGATCTTTTTTTTTTTTGTGTATCTCCATTTTCTTTTTAAATTACATTAAGATTTAGAAATTACATAACATAACAATCCAATTGGGTCCAGGCCCAGCTACACAAACATTGTGAACAAGGAGGAGAAACACAAACATTGAGAGAGATTTATCTAAGCATTGCCAACACTTTTACGTTGAATTTTTGGCTAGTTTGTAATATTTGAGTACGAATGCCTGTTTTTGGCAACACGACGGATTTATCAATCTTCCTGCTATGTGTTCAGACAGAAAAGTGTCCTTCTGACATGGAAATTTCTGGGAAAACTGGCACAATGTTCTAGGAAAAAAGTCACTTTTAGAACATTTTACTAAATATAATCAGAATAATGCAGGAATTAATACAACACTTTTCAGAGAACTTTGATTTTCCATTTTTCCTCTGTGTACTCTCTATGCTGACTGCAATGTGCAAAGGACAAAGCGTATAACAATGCCGGATAATGAGCTAAGATGGAGGCGCCAAGTTAATGGATACAGAGGTGGGAATTTCTATATTTAATTTTATTTTCACAACCTCACAAACACATATTTAGTAAATATAGGAGATAAGAAAGATAACATTAAAAATCATGGGATGTGAATGTTCTGTATTTATAGCGACTCTGTCACCAAACACAGTTTCTGAGCATTTCATAGTAAAATCTTTATGAAATGTCATGTTGACCGGTGGATGTTGCAGAATAAAGGCCAATCTCCCGGCATGCCATATTAAGGTTGGATCATTGTGAAGGGGTTCCTACAGGAGATCTGTACCTCTAATAAAACAGATCTCTCTTGTTTGATGGTTTTTACATCTTCACTCTGATAGATATAAGCAAAGTCCAACCTCAACCTCCATTTATTGTTTAAACAGAGATGATAGATGAACGGGTTAAATCCTGCCTAGATGACTCATAACAATCTTGTACATAGTTTTAACACTAGTTTTGCACATGACCCTATCTTTACACACTGGTTTTGGGAAGACCCCACCTAGCACATGTCCCCCAAGGTACATTTAAGATCGATGAGTGGTTGCATGCCTGTACCCTGCTACTCCTTTACATGCTGTCTTTGGTTGGAAATTAATGACACTTTCCCTAGACTGCCCCTTTATTGTATTTGCCTTATAAGCTTTTTTTCTCTGCAATAAACTTTGGACATTCTTTGAACTAACTTCTCTGTGTGATCTACATCACTGAGTACTTAGGGCGTGGTAAGATCTGGATAGAACTTTAAGTCCATGGCAGTAGAAGTCTGGTGATCACCAATGAGAAGTTCCAACAGTTGACCCCCCACGATGTATTGGCTGCCATATTGTAAGAGCTAAATGTCTTCATTGTTCCTGACTTGATCACCAATCTCCGGAGTTCAGTCTCCCCTCGCTCCGGAGTTCAGTCTCCTCTCGCTCTGGAGTTCAGTCTCCCCTCGCTCTGGAGTTCAGTCTCCTCTCGCTCCGGAGTTCAGTCTCCCCTCGCCCCGGAGTTCAGTCTCCCCTCGCCCCGGAGTTCAGTCTCTCCTCGCTCCGGAGTTCAGTCTCCTCTCGCTCCGGAGTTCAGTCTCCCCTCGCCCCAGAGTTCAGTCTCCCCTCGCCCCGGAGTTCAGTCTCCCCTCGCTCCGGAGTTCAGTCTCCTCTCGCTCCGGAGTTCAGTCTCCCCTCGCCCCAGAGTTCAGTCTCCCCTCGCCCCAGAGTTCAGTCTCCCCTCGCCCCGGAGTTCAGTTTCCCCTCCCTCTGGAGTTCAGTTTCCCCTCGCCCCGGAGTTCAGTCTCCCCTCGCCCCGGAGTTCAGTCGCCCCTCTCTTTAATGAGAAGATCGATGGTGGTACGAGAGCTAGGCTCAGCATGCAGCGAGGGAAGCCTCGCTTATAATAAGAGCTTATTTACATGGGACACTGATCACCCCGGCCACAATAGTCAGTTTCTAGGGGAAAAATGTGAGCTCTGTGAGGACAAGTAACTAAGGGGTTCTCAGGTCATCGCAATTCGTAATGATCAGACCTTTTATTTCCATATATATACATGGTCCTATATGGGACTCACAGCACACTCTCTCACTCCCTGCTAAGGCCCCTGCAAAGCGTGCACTCTCCTTCACACTCTTGCAAGGCATGCACTCTCACTCAGACCATCCACACTCAGGCCCTTGCAAGGCATGCACTCTCACTCAGACCATCCACACTCAGGCCCTTGCAAGGCATGCACTCTCACTCAGACCATCCACACTCAGGCCCTTGCAAGGCATGCACTCTCACTCAGATCATCCACACTCAGGCCCTTGTAAAGCATGCACTCTCACTCAGACCATCCACACTCAGGCCCTTGTAAAGCGTGCACTGTTAGGGCCCTGTGTTAGCTTAGCTACACTCCAGCCCCTGCATAGTGTGTACTCTGAGTAAACTCAGCTATGCTCAGGCCCCTGTAAAGTAAGGTCAAGCGCACTGCGGTCTCTCTAAAGCATGCACTCACATCAAGCTCAGCCACACTCTGTTACTGTAAAGCATGCACTCACATCCAGCTCAGCCACACTCTGTTACTGTAAAGCATGCACTCACATCAAGCTCAGCCACACTCTGTTACTGTAAAGCATTCACTCACATCAAGCTCAGCCACACCGCTGCCTTGGAAAGCATGCACTCTTAGTACATACGTTCCTCTGGTTTTCCTTTGGCCTTGGGACTTTCTGTTTTCGGCTTCTTCAAAACTTTCACCGTCTTTACTACCTTAACCTTTTTTTTCGCTGTCACATTTGCTAGAAAAAGGTAAAATCAAATACAGAGTGAGAGATATTCAGGCATGTATACATGTGAGTACACCTGTTCATGCCGTGTACTCTCAAGAACACACATAAACATGGTACATGCTTTTAATGCACACGTCAGCATACATATACACATGCATGGCCCCCTGGGCATACACAAATATACCTTAACATATATTCTGTGTATCCACATATATACACAGACATGTACCCCAGGTATACACACAAACCCTGATTATCCACACATATACACAGACAGGTACCCGGAATATACACATGCAGACATGTATAGCGGCATCCACACATATATGCAACTGTCCTCCAGGACATATACATGCAATGCACATGTTTGGAATGAATTCAAACCTCACATTTTTTTAATACTAGATTAAATGTTTGTTTGGGAAAAATCTCTTCCTACATTCTGGACCAGTCAGAAATCCATATCTTCATATCAATATGTCTCATTTTTAGACATAAACCAGATAGACCAAAGCTACACTCATTGCACAAAGGATTGAACTGGGTCAAACAAGCCCCAACAGAATTCATAAAGATTTCTGTTTTATTAGTGAATACATTCTTATCAGATAAGGTTTCTCTTTGTTCCTCAGCTTTAGGGTGGGATGGCCAAGTTGGGCCAACTCATCTCCAAGGAAAGAAGCCTTGTGCAACTGCACAGGTCAAACTCCAGATGTTCTCTCTGCAAAGCATGTGGATAGTTGTAACAATTGTGATAAAAATAAAACTAACAGCAGAATCTAGTAATGTTACTGAATGACTAACTCAAATATTTTATCATGAATTACTTTTCCAGAATTCAGTAAAAGCAGAGGAGACCAATGGATTTAGAGGTTAATGACTGAAACTTGCTGAATGTTTGTACAATTTCCAGTCTATTTGTGTAGTAAGATATGTATTTATAATAAGTGGAGGGAGTCCACGCATGTAATCCAATAAATATGTTTAGCTTTTTTTCAAGTTGATATAAATTAAAAAATATCTCTAAACAAATATTCAGGTCCAAGAAACAACAATGAGGTGCATTCCTTCCACCAATCTTACATCATCTTCTAAAGAACAAATGAGACCTGTACTAACTGGCGTTTCCAACGATGACCATTATATTCTGGAAGGAAGAATCGACCAGGATTGGGCTCTTCCCACAGCAGGCTGTTGTGGTTATGGTGCTTGTAGTGATTCTTTAAACAACAACATAAACAATTTCCAAAAAGAAGCTATTCTGTCCTCAATGAAAATGGTCAAAAACTTTTCATTTTCATGCCAAGATGAAGAAGCTATAATTGTGAAGGCATTTCTGGTCTCCTCATCCTCCATGTCAAATGTGTGCTCTGCTTCCGTCAGCAGACAGCTTACCGACCCTTTACAAGAGTCTTACAATATGGATTTGAACCTATAAGTTGATACATGAGAAATGACGACCATATGATATGTGTGGGGTCTAGCCATCGCTGATCTTAGCATTAGAGTTGGCTATAACTCACAAACATTTTTGTGGGAATTTTTGCATCTTTATGGATTTTTGCTTTTCTTTAAAACATCCCTGGGAAACTTTACTGCATGAATGCCTTTCCAAATTATGCAATTGTGGATATAAAATATCAAATGATTTGCTTCATAGAAGTTACAATTCATTTTCTTTAATCCAAAATGCAGCTTGGGTCTTCGAGGTACAACTCTGTCCAGTAATGAACTTGGAGGAGTAATGATGCAACTCAGAAGTCAAGTGAGATGTGCTTTATTGTCTGTTACCAATTTCAGAATGATGTCCAAGAAAGCGTAATGGACGCATCATTGCCTGCTTGGCACAAGATTTCCGGACGGGTAATATTAATTAAGTGCATATTTCTACCCAGAGATTGAGAATGCTATTCATTGGTAAGTGGGCAAATCATTCCTAAATGGGCCATGGTACTCCTTACATCCTAACCATACAGTGGGATTGGAGTAAGCCTTTCATGTCCTCCCTCCAGTGTGAGCTGAGCATTCTACAGACAGCAGCTGGTCTAACACTGCTTGCAGGGGGATACTGACTCTCTAAGGGAGTTTTGGGGAACAGTTGCTCCAAAATGTAATGTGGTGGGAACTGAAATTCACTCCCTCTTGTTAGCATAGAACTATTTGTGATGCAATTCAGCAACCTTTCATACAAGCTTGCAAGACCGCACAATTATTACAGAAGGTGAATTTTGCATATTTACAGATATCTGCGACTTGTTATACTTAGATTCCCAATATATAGATATTCACACTGGAGTCCAGTTTCCCTGTATATTCCTGTTTTTTTTTTTTTCTTTTCTTACATTCTTATTTTCACCTTTTCCTTGGAGAATGTATATAGTACTTTTATTAATCACAATTTAAAGTTTGAATTTCCCCATCGTACGATATCTTTTCAGTATTGTGTATTCGTAGGCATACCCCCCATCGCTACAGAGATTAATGGAGGTTTGGAATAGATTGGGCACTGTTAAAGTTAATCATTTAATGAATGCAAATAAATGCTGGCAATCATGGAAAATTTGTGACTGGTGCTTATGTATGGACAGGACATCTCAGGAAGAGGACAATGCCTTCACCACAAAACTTCAGCACTGGAGGGTCTGACCAAAACCTTATCCCATTAGCTGCCAACAATAAAACAATGACTTTTCCAAAGGAAATATATTCACAAACAAATTACCCAGCTTAGATTCTGTACGGGAACTAAAAATTCTCCTTCAAATACAAGACATGTTTTTAGTTTTCCTTTAGGAGAATTGCTGTGTGTGTCTGTAGAAATAAATTGGAACAAATCAAATGCCAAGATTTTCATTCCAAGATTATTTTTCCTCCTCTCCCACCCCTCTCTCTCTCTCTCTCTCTTTACACTGACTGCAAAACCAAAATAAATAAAGAACACGTGGCCTGGTCTGTAATGAATTCAGTATTACAGACACACATAAATGCACATGCCAGACACACATGAACAGTCAGACATACAAACTGTTTCTTTCAGAAAGACAATGGTTTCCCTCCCCATGACCACGCAGGGGTGCACCAGTGAGGTTTGGTGAAAGCCAACAGTTTATCTTCATTTGGCCATGCAGGGGTGCACAAGTGAGGTTTGGTGATAGCAGCACCAGTAAACCTCCATGAACAGCCAGAAGGAAGCCTGTTGAGTTTTGTGTGTATTTCTGAACAGCCAAGGGGCCCATGAACTTACCTTAAAGATCTCAGAGACCTTCTACCTCTTATAACTCTACTGAATGATATATTGGCCAAGTAGGTCCAAACTCACAAAGCAGCTATGTGATTACTGTGCGCAATGAAAGATTTCTTACATACTTAACGTAGAGAAGCTCATGGTAAGCCCAGGTTGAATGGACTTCCCAAAGAGCTGAACTCCTGACCTTGTATTGATAAAGCAGCTTGATTATACTGTGAGGGTTTCTCATTAGTGTGAATTGTCAGGAATTAAAAGTGAATTTAACATTTTAGACCAACATAGCCATACAGGAAAAAAAAAGTTATTTTTTTTAGTATGAATATAAAACAAAAATGTGAATTCCCAACAATTCTCAGTAAAAACCCTGTATGTGATACTCAGAGAAGACAGCTGCTTGGACAGAGGTCATCAAGATCGATGACATCACCCGAGGAGGATCAGCAAGGAGTCTATCTGCAATACGGGTACATTGTATTGTGAGTTTAAAGAGGAACTGTCACTAATTATTATTATTTATATAAGAATAAAAACATTAATAGGCACATTTAATTTAGATTGAAAGATGCTTCATAAGATGCTCCAGTTTCTTTTAGAAAAAAAGGGAGCTAAGATGGAGGTGCCCAGTTGCATGGTAAGAAACATGGATATCTACGTTTAATTACATTTTCACACCTTATCAACATGTATTTGTTAAATACAATAATAATAAACATGATTTTCAAAAATCTGGAAAGTGATAGTCCCCCTTTAGTTATTATAAAATAATCTAATTAAAAATATAAAAAGTTAAAGTCTTCATTTAACCTGGCTGTCCTCGGTAAACTTATTCTGGCCAAAAGTCAACAGAGGCAGAGAGGGCCCACAGCTGCTACATTTCCAAGATTCATTGGTCATTTTAAGGAGATTAATGGGGACGTAATGAGCCTTTGCATATTTTGATCCCGCTACAATGTCACTAATTGGGGTTCTTTGTATTTTCCTCCGATATTAAAGAGTGTTTGCTCTCGATGTTGGGATATCTGGAGTCTATTGTGAAGATGAGTGAGCAGACATTCTGAAGCAAAGATGCTGTAACAAGATTTCTTGCGAGCAATGACTGATCGCTGGCCGTGTACACTGCCATCTGTCTGCACAGCTCACACCGTCTCTCTGCTCAAAGCCGGAATGAGAAGAAAGGGCATTTAAGGAGACTTGACCTGCTTTACAACGCTAAACTATAAAATGTCTAACAGTACTTCACTGGCCTCACTGCGGTCCCTGGCATGGGAGCCTTGTGTGTGTTTTGTCAAAGCCTCATGCAGCTCCTACTCACATGAGTCTGTTTCATGCAGCACAAGCAACGATCCTCTACATGTAGACTCGGCCACTAGTACTAACCGCCATGACAATGACAGTAGCAATGACCTGCATGACATAGACAGCAGCAATGACAACCATGGCATAGACAGCAGCACTGACTGACACGACATGGACAGCAGCAATGACAACCATGGCATTGACAGCAGCACTGACTGACATGACAGGGACTAGAGCACTGACTGACATGACATGGATAGCAGCAGTGCCCGCCATGACAAGGAGAACAGCACTGAGTGCCATGACACGGATAGCAGCAGTGACCGCCATGACAAGGAGAGCAGCACTGAGTGACATGACACAGACAGCAGCACTGACTGACACAACATGGACAGCAGCACTGATTGACCTGACATGGACAGCACCACTGACCGACATGACATGGACAGCAGCACTGACCGACACGACACGGACAGCCAGGCCATTATGCACTCCGAAGCATCATGCTGCCCTCTGCCAGGTAGCACCCATTACTGGGTATATAACTTACCTTTCTTGTCCACTGTCTTCTCCTCAGAAAGCCTCATTCTCCTTTCATTGAGAATCGGTTCCCCTAAATCTTCGTCCCCATACTTGGTTGGTTTCATGGTCCCATTGGCTCCTGGAGTAACCATGGTGCTGTTAGGTTTTGTTTGGGTCTTCTCTGTAGTGACCATTCGTACTGTGCTAGAATGAGGGGCACCATAGCAGCTGGTAAACAGGGAGACTGTGCCCAGCAGAACCAGAGCAATGGGTAAGCAATGCATTGTCACTGACAAGGCAGAACACACTCTCATACAACTTTTAGCTGAGTGTTTTAACTTGGGCAGAAATTCTGCAGCAGAGGCACCATCCCCTCCCCTTTCCTCTCTCCTAATCTAGCCCCCCTTCTTTCTCTAGAGCAGAATATTTTACCAAACTTTCCCAGCCCCCAATCTGAATTCCAGCTAACTCCGGAGGAGAGCCATACCACAGTCTCAGGAACAATAAGGCACAGTCTGCATGACCAGTGCCCGATATTATTACTTGTCTAAGGACTTAAATGAACAACGTAATACACTGGTCCTGCTAGGATTGTAATATTTTATATAGAACTGTACCCCCTTTAATTTCATTAAATTAAATCTGTACAATTAATTAAAGTCTGAGATTTACACAATAAACACCAAGCTGTGACTGCTAGTGAATGTGATAACTTTTCCAAATCAGTTACTTTTGTATACATTTTGCAAGTCAGATTTCAGGTCACTGCAATCCCCTGTGAGATAAATGGTGCTGTCCCTTCTTATAGAGCGCCTACATATGCCATGGCGCTGTACAATACATATTGGATTCCTAGGTTCTGGAAACACTGGGGCTTGAGCTCCCTAACAGAGAGATGGGTATCTGTCATGACATATGACCACCTTTATGTCCCCTCCTGTACCCATGGACAGCATGCTTCTAATGATCTCTGGCATTTATGGCACTGCAGGTCCCCTCTCCCTCCCACCCCCCATCCCCGGTTGCTGAAGGGGTGAAAACCCCTTCAGTCACTTACCTGAGACCGCCGCTGATATCCCTCGGCGGTGGTTTCAGGTCGCCACCGCTCCTCCTCTTCTTTACGTCAGCCGGTGGACGAGATTGATCCCGTCCGCTGACTGAGGAGACCTACGCGCATTAGAGCTCTCCATAAAATGCTTTCAATGCATTCCTATGGGGAATAGAGCGACGCTGGAGGTCCTCACACAGCAGGAGGACGTCCAGTGGCGCTCTAGCACAGAAAACCTTTGCTATGGACACGGAAGTGCCCTCTAGTGGCTGTCTAGCAGACAACCACTAGAGGAGGAGTTAACCCTGCAAGGTAATTATTGCAGTTTATAAAAAACTGCAATAATTACACTTGCAGGGTTAAGGGTAGTGGGAGTTGGCACCCAGACCACTCCAATGGGCAGAAATGGTCTGGGTGCCTGGAGTGTCCCTTTAATAGAGGAGTGTGCAGCAAAGTTCTGTCCCCAGTACCATCTCCTCTTCTGGTTACCTCTCCATACAATGCCTGGCAGAGCCTATACTGGTGATATTTCTTTTTATAATAGATGACTGCTGTGAGACCCTGGGGTAAAACACACACACTTATAAACTCCTGCCCCCTTCACCAACTGAGAGACCTAGGGCTAATGATCCCCACATCCAGGGTTACAGCCCTCAAAGCCCTCCGCTAGCAACACCTATGCACTCAATTTTAACGTATTGAAAAAAAATGAGCATATTGTGAGCTTACAATTAAATATATTCAAATATTTTCAGTTAGATCATTCTCTTGCAAAGATTCTTTGCCTATCTTTTAAAGAAATTGTTAAACCATATCTATTCACAGCATTATAACCTGGGAATACCAGTCCATCTTCATTTAATAAACAAACTATTAAACCATTCCAACAGCTCTGTGTTTGTGCAATTATTACCACAATGATGTCTAGATCATAGTCTAGCTGACTACCTGATCACACTCAACAAATAATGTTAAAGCAATGACAAAACAATACAAGCAATGTTAGCAATATCCTAATGACCTGGTTACTATAATCAATCATGAAGATACACACATATACATTTATACATACTTATTGGGGGAAAAGAATCTATGGGAAACATTAACCTCCTACAGGGATCTAATAAAACAGCATCTTTTTCACAAAATATATATTTTTTTTAAAATGGGCTGCCCTAATTCTAAACTAAAAATGGAACTACTTTATAGTGTTCCTTTAATAATGAAAAACAAGTTAATTATGTACATTTATTCTTGGATCTAGCAGATACTAAGAACCCTACACAGGGGTAGAAATATTCCAGAACACCCAAGCTCATCGCACCAAACCCGGACAGATATCAATCTTCATTAGCTCAGTGTTTTTATCCTTCAATTCCAAGTTGAATTTACACTCATTATCATTACCAGCCTGTAGAGGAACAAATGTCTCTGCCAGAAACCCCTAGTCAGTGATATAATGACTGTAAAGTTGTTGAAAATGTCAGCTCACCCTCTCCTTATACCCAGTACAGGAAGTGTCACTGGGTCATACCATTCTTACAGTCAGGGAGAGGGAGGAGTGAATGGACTCTACCATTTCACTGTAAGCATTACATTTGCAGTCCAGAGAAAGATAAAGATTCCAATAGTAGTTTTAAATGCCTTTAGTTTAGAAATATATAATTTAAATGCATTTGCTGTATGTGGGCATTATGATCAAATGCTGACTTTATTATTACATTATGCTGCAATTTCCAGTAAGCTGTACTGCTAGTAATGCCTTCAGGGTCCTTAAAAATACACATAAGAAAGGTTTTAGATCATTTAATCAATTTATATATTGTGGTACATCTACTATATGTGAGGAATAAATTTTTGCTTTTATACTTTTATACTAGCTTATCAGACCCTGTTACAAATTTGGCACAATAAAGGAACTGTGTACTGTTAAGCATTTCACGTCTCAAATATTTTTATAAAGGATGAACTCATAAGTGAAAAATAATTGTGTCAATTTACATAATACATTTTTTAAAGTTTCTCTGCAAAGCACTCTATAGTCAAAGTTGTTGTGTTATGATATGTTTATACACTAGCCAGCGCCATCTCAAGAGGCATATAGAGGGCTGAGGAGTGAAAGAGGCGCACAGAGGCCTGAGGGGAGAAGAAGCACACAGAGGCACTGGCGGAACTACCGCGGTGGCAGGGATCGCTGCTGCGACAGGGGCCGTCACTCCAGGGCCCTGCGACTACTGCCACTAGCGTGCCCACCGGCATTGTGGTGAGGCCCTGCTGCGGCTGCATTGACGGGGCCTATCGGATGGCCCATGCCACAGCGCGACCAGGCCACAGTGATGACGTCAGAGCTGGAAGGAAGCAGCCACTTCCTCATAGCTAACTGAGCGCCGTGCGGGAGGAGATCGCTGGGTCAGAGAGGAGGAAGTCAGAGTGGGAGTTCTGACTGCCATCAGCATGAGGCAACCACTGGACCCCAGGGAAGTCACCCTCCTGCACCTAAAAGGTAGGAAACAGGAGGGTGACTGCATTTTTTTACAGTTTGTGTGTGTGTGTGTGTGTATGTATATATGTATGTGTGTGTCTGTATGTGTGTGTGTGTGTATGTCTCTGTGTGTGCATGTCTGTATGTCTGCATGTGGGACTGTATGTGTATCTCTTTGTCTGCATGGGTATCTGTTTGTCTGTATGTGTATCTGAATGACGTGTATCTGTCATTAAGTGTGTCTGTGTATCGGCATTCATGTCTGTGGCAAAACTAGCCACTTAAGATTGTATTTCCATTCATGTGGTATTGTAACTTTAAGGCTATCTGAACTGTGCATGTTCCCTTTTCTGTATTTGATGCGAACGAAAGCATTCGTATGCTGGCAGCACAAAAGCCACCAGCATTCCTACAGTAGTTTCACGAACAGTGAATTTCAGCACTTTTCGTGAAACGAAAAAACTACCGAATGGGAGACCACGCACAGGAGGTCGTGCGGCTCCCATTACAGATCGCAACATTGTATCTTTCAGTAGTTAATAGATGTTCAGGGTGGCCGCCGTTTGGATACCGACCACGCGGCGGTCCGCCATCTTGAATCCTTTGTTAGCCCAGCAGTATTTTGTCGTTGAGTGCCTGGAACTAAAATCGGCTACTCGACGGCAAAAGGGTGGTTGGAAGCCACCCAAGTTAACACTCTGGAGGACCTGTTCCAGCTAATGGTCATGGAGCAGTTCTTCGACAGGATACCCCCCCATCTACATAATTGGGTAAGGGACCGAAAACCACGCATGCTACAAGAGGCCACCAAACTGGCAAATGAATTCCAAGATGCCAGGAGGGATCAGCGCACCCAACACCGACCGGTCTATACACCTACAAAATCGTTACCAGCTGTGACCTCAACCATCCATCCACGACCAGGGGTAAGTCAAAATACCTACACTCCCAGGTACCCTACCCATCCTCAGATCCGTTGCCACACCTGCAACCAGCAGGAGCATATACAGCGAGACTGCCCCTGCAACTGTCCCCGGCCAAGCTGGAATAATACAACATCCAACAACCGAGCAGCCGTGCACTGTGTACAAGCAGAACAGTATGGAGCACCGAGGCAGCCACTCCAATGGAAGAACCTTTGGGGACCCTACATGAGGTAAACCCCATTCAGGCTGCCTCGGATAACCGGCAGGGGCACCAACAGAAAGTACACATGGAGGGAAAAAAGGTACAGGGTCTACGAGACTCTGGGGCCACCTTAACTCTAGTCCGAAATCATCTGGTGCCAAAGAATAATCTAACTGGGGACTGCGTCACTGTGCGGGTGCCGGGGGAGCGATTTACAAAGTTCCCACTGCCAAGGTGCATTTGAATTGGGGAGCAGGGCACGGGAATGTGGAGGTGGGGATGGTGCAGGATTTACCCGCTGACGTCATCATGGGCAACGACCTGGGGGAGCTGACTTCAGATTTTTTCCCCAACCCACCATTCAGGAAGCATACCCGGTTGTGACCCGGCAGCAGGCCTGCACCACAGCTCCATTTAACCACTTTGAGACTCAGGTAAGCAATGGAAATCCCATACCCTCTCTCATGCCCTGGGCGACCCCCCTAGAATTTGGTTCCGAAGTAGCCATAGATCCCTCCCTGCAGATATATAAAGGCTGTATAGACAAGGACCAGGCAGGGCTAGAAGGAGAAAGGTACACCTTGGACAACGGGCTACTGTACCGCCACGCAGAGAAAGAAGTAGCCAGATCTATACCTCTACCCATTAAACTGCTAATTGTGCATCGGAAATATAGACTTGAATTGTTATGCATCGCCCATGATATTCCCCTGTCTGGGCACTTAGGAATCAGCCGCACTAAGCACAGGCTGACCCAGAACATCTTCTGGCCAGGTATATCACAGGATGTTAGACGATATTGTCAGACCTGTGATACCTGCCAGAGGGTAGGGAAGATGGGAGACCGATACAAAGCTCGGC